TAAGCGAGATATTAAGCTTTTAATCTCTTATTTTAAAAAAGTAAATCTTAATTTTTAGCTAAGATTTAACCTATTATAACTCACTTAATTTATAAGCTATATATATAAAAACTAGTGCATTATAAAGAGTTAAATTATTTTTATTTAAAGATATTAATTATAACCTTATAAGTCTTATAATTAACGTTATATATATAATTAAAATTTCCCTCTATAACTACACATTACACTATAAATGTAGTTGTAGTGTAGTTAAACTACACTAAAACTACAAAAACTACACTACACTACAAACTACACTAAAAAACTACATGTAGTGTAGTTTTTTTGTTAATGCTCTGCCCTAGAGGAAGTTTTAATCGCGATTTTCTCGCGTTATATTGTTTTTACTATTATAAGAGCTAGTGCATTCGATTCGTCTCGTTGAGCTGTATCGATTGATTTCTATATGGATATGTGGGCTCTTCAATCATATAGCTCTGAGTCAATTTTTTTGTTTTTGCATACATTTTAATTTTTGCGGAAAATAAAAGTGGCCCACGAGCGCCCGGTGGCGGGGCCGATCCCTCGCAGAGGTCGGTGGGTATGTGAGGGGGCTCGGACGGTCCGGCCTGACCCCACTAGTTGGGTGAGCAGCTAGTGGGTTTGCCGGTCTGTCGGGGTTTTACGACTACTGTAAGGACCGCTGTGGGACACTGGGGGTGCCGGGTTCCGGGGGTTATAGCCGTGCTGCGGTCGCTGCAGTCATGTCTTTGGGTGCGTTGCGTGTGCTATATGTTCTGCGAGTTGCTCTAGGGGTTGTTTTCCAGTGGGCTAGGCACTGGTTGCGGGTTTTTGGGGGCATTGTGACCGTGCTGTAATTGCTGCGATCACGTTTGCGGGTGTGTTATACATTCTGTGGGCTTTGTGGGATGCACTAAAGGTTTCAGTGGGTTAGGCACTGGTAGCGGGTTCTGGGGGCATTGTGACTGTGCTGTAGTTAATTGGTTATAATATTAGCTAATTTATGCATTTATTATTATAATTCAAGTATTTTATTAGATTTATTATTAATTATTTAAGCTTTTTTGAAAATTGAAAATGTAGTTTTCTTGTCAATGCTCTGGCTGTAACACGGGATGTTAGAGCCTGTAAGTCTAAGACGAGAGGCTGTCTTCTTTTTTTTTATTACTCTCTTGCAAGCCTTAGGCCTATAGAGAGGTTTTCTATCTTCTATATAATATAATATAAACAAGTAATTAGCTAGTCTTCCCTCTAGTACTAATACTACACTATAATTCTCTTTCTTTTCCTTTATATTTTACACCTTTAATACCATTTTTCCCTCGCTTTATATACTTCTTTAAGGTTTTTAGGCAAATTTTACCTATATTCTTCTTTTTTAACTACTATATAAGCGTTAACCTATTTCTAGCTACACCTTGTAGTCTTATTTTATCCTAAAAATAAGTTTTCCTGGGTTCCCTCTTTTTAGGTTACCCTAGAGCAGAGCATTGGAAGTAGTGTAGTTCACAATCAGATGGACAAACAGAAATCTTGAACCAAATACTCGAACAATATCTGCGAAGCTATGTCAACTACCAACAGAATGATTGGGTAGAATGGCTACCACTAGCACAATGGGCTTACAATAGCTCTGAGATTGACAACATGAAGATGTCACCATTCAGGGCAAATTACGGATTTGACCCTATCATCGAGACACATGCGACACAGAATGTGAACGCGCCAGCAGCTACAGCGCATGCAGCAACCATAACAGAAATACTCTTAAATATTAACTATAAACTATTATTACTAAATGGAATAAGAATCTATCCTATATTTTATATATTACTACTAGAGAAAGCACCAGATAAATCTATAATCGCTATAAACATTATAACGGAAGATACTAACAAATACGAAGTTAAACGGATACTTAAAGCACGGGAAGATATAAAGAATCGTTATTATCTCGTTAAATAAAAGGGATATTTAAACTCTAAAAACACCTAGGAACCAGCTAAAAATCTTATGAACTGCTTAACGTTACTTGAATAGTTTCATTCTTAAGAAACGCATTCCAATTAATCTCTTAAGTACCGTCTAATAAATTAATACTAAATTTAGCATCTAAGAAATAAACTAAAGTAGGATCTAGATCCTTGAAAGGAGTAAGAAGAACCCTCGTAGCCTTTTAAAGCTATTCCGCTTTCTCACGTTCCACACGTTCTAACTCTTTAACGTTATTAATACCACGCGTAACCGCACGCATTATTTTCTTAAACTATAATTTCTTTTATTTTCGTAAGCAACGCACCTTAGCGCTCGCCTTTTCGAGTTCTTCCTTAGTAGCTTCTAACTCGGACTTAGCTTTCTAGTATTAGGTACTAATACAACGCAACTACTATAGGGTAAGAGGATTTATATCGTAGTAAGACCTGTTTAAACGAATGCACTCATAATAACGGGACGAGTCCACGTCAGACGCCTTATAATTCTAAAGGCCTTAATCTTTGGGTGCGTTGCGTGTGGGTGCGTTGCGTGTGCTGTATGTTCTGCGAGTTGCTCTGAGGGTTGTTTTCCAGTGGGCTAGGCACTGGTTGCGGGTTTTTGGGGGCATTGTGACTGTGCTGTAGTTGCAGCGATCACGCCTGTGGGTGTGTTATACATTCTGTGGGCTCTGTGTGTGTTACATAGCCTAGCGAGGGCGCTGTGATTGCTGTGAGCTCGGGGGTTCGAGGGTTCGAGGGTTCTGGAGACTCATGGTCAATGCCCTGTGGTTTTCAATGTTGATAGGCTGAACGGGATGTCCAGGCGTTATATACGGCGTCGGATTCCCTGGAGGCGGCCAAGGTATGGCCAACTTGAATTTGACTTTGTGGGGTTATCGGGGGGCTTTCTGCGGGACGGCTGGATGGAGAGTCTTAGGGGGTTTTCCGCGTGGTTCTGGGGGCTTGTGAGGCAAAATAGACGGATGATAATAACTGGCGTTGTTCGACTGGGGGTTGCTCCCTAAGGCTCTCTATCCGGCTTGTGAGGGTATGCTGATGCGTGGTGCCGTTTCCTGGGAGTTTAGGGTAGTTCTTACTCCTAGGAACTATTGTCTTGTGCAGATTTGGGTCTCTTCTAGGAAGGTAGCAAATGCCTTTCTTCCTGCTTTGGTGGCAGAGCATTGGAAGTAGTGTAGTTTTGTAGTTTTGTAGTTTTTTGTTACGAACGTCACCAAACGCGGGAAGGACTGGGCCGCACCAGGGAAGGCAAAGCCATGACAGGGGAGAACCAAGACGTCACGTGCCAGGTCACGTGATCATGAAGTATCGATGGATCACCTATCGATCACTATGAGCCAAGTGATCGTTGGATCACTTATCGATCGCCATAAGTTGGGGATCGATAGATAGACAAATGATCAGGATGATCATGAGTCTACAATAGAGAGATAGACAAGTACTTCCACGCATAACCACACGCATTATTTTCTTAAACTATAATTTCTTTTATTTTCGTAAACGTAAGACCTTTTAATTCTCGGCTAAGGCACGCTCCTTAGCTTCTTTAAGCTCCCTCTTAAGCTTATAATGTTAATCCGTAATACTGCGAAGCTGTTAAGGGGTCACCCCCGTAATATTATAATTCTCTTGCTTATCTACCACACACTTCACATAATAACTTAAATCGGAAACGGAGGCTTTACATTAGGGAAGTCCTATACGGGCGTAGCGAGCGTAAGCCTTTATAAAGGATAAAGACAAATTATTAATTATCGCAGAAAGAAGGTTATCCTAGTAAAGGGAAGAAGTAAACGAAGCTTTAAACCGCTGTTTTAAGACACGGTTAGTTAATATAATAGCACATGATAATAGAAGAAAGAAAACGCACGACATTCTTTTGTTTCCGCAAACGCAAGACCTTTTGATTCTCGGCTAAGGCACGCTCCTCAGCTTCTTCAAGCTCCCTCTCGAGCTTGTAATGTTGATCCGCGATGCTGCGAAGCTGTTGAGGGGTCACCCCCGCAATATCACAATTCCCTTGCTTGTCCACCACACACTTCACACAACGACTCGAATCGGAAACGGAGGCTTCACATTGGGGAAGTCCCATACGGGTGCAGCGAGCGCAAGCCTTCATAAAGGACAAAGACGGATTGTTGATTATCGCAGAAAGAAGGTTATCCCGGCGAAGGGAAGAAGCAGACGAAGCTTTAGACCGCTGTTTTGAGACACGGTTAGTCGACATGATGGCACATGATGATGGAAGGAAGAAAACGCACGACACTCAAGCCGGCCTGTTTCGATGGCCTTGAGGACAAGACCAACAGAGGAGGGGCATAATGTTACGAACGACACTGCACAAGACACGGGACGGGACCGCACCGGCTAGGACAGGCACGACCCGTGGGCACAAGAAGAAGGCAGGGGCACGTGACCAGCCACGTGACCCAAGAGGCGATCGAAGAGGTCGATGTTCGAACACATCGACCAGGGAGGATCGAACCGACCGAACCTCGAGCCAGTCGATCAAGGTTCGAAGGGATCGATGGTCGAGCCAATCGATCCAGGACTACAATAGAGAGATAGACGAGTACTTAAGGAGGAAGTATTCCCATAGTCAGATAGTCTAGTTCTCTATTGATCAATCTAAGCAATAGTTTTACTATTGAGAGTTATACTCTTAACGGCCTTATTGTGATACTGCTCAAAAAGCTACTCTGTAGCATTCAACCTGACTTACTTCCTAAGAAACAGACCTACTGTGCCTTAGAACCTAAGCCACCGTTACATTTAGACTCCTTAATTAAACCTTCTATTATAATAATAATTGCTACACGTACCTTAATAGTAAGTAAGGTAACGGATAGTTTCTACGAGAATGAAAGGAAAGGAAAATAACCCTTATAATACAACTAAAATTACGATAAACTAATTTAAAGATATTAAATGGGAAATTATATTATCCTAAGAATAACGTATATACTCGTTAAAATATCTTAAATTTAGTGGTAAACTAGGCTTATAATTATTATAATAATAGCTATAAAAGCAGATTAAATAGTGGAATTATTCTTAGGATTAAAGCTATCTAGGTATAAAAAACAGGCCCTTATTTATAAATATTAAGGTCATTTAATAGATCACCTAAAAAGTAATTAATTTAAGGGGTTCTACGGTATCCAGCTATTAAAGGTCCGGCTTTAATAGGGTAGTAGCGCGAGCCTTCTTTTAAGGCTTTTCGTACAATCGAAAAGCAGCTATTTAAGGCGTTTTGGGGCTTATCGGGGTCCCCGATAAATAGCAGCCATTTTCCATTGAAAGGGCCTTTGGCGTTGATACCATGGATATGATCCCAGCAGGACGGTGGTTGAATCTTTAATTTGTGGCTTGGCCTCGGTATGTGTAATTCGTAAAGCTTAATCGGCGTCGACCTGGCAACGCCAATTACCCGGCCCGTAAGCCGAGGTAATACAAGACCCTGATGTCAACGAGCAAGTTGCCCTATGTAAGGATAGGGAAAGCGGAGAGAGCCAGAGCCTCAAGTAATTTATCCCCTCCGGGGTTCCTTCAGGGAACCTGCCGGGGGCCGCCTTTACTGTCTGGTGGCCGCTGTTGCTAGTGGCGTTTTTATGTTAACCAATTTTTCCTTGGACCAATTAAATGCTTAGGGACGCTCCCATTATATAGTAAATTAAAGAGGTAAAGCGGGAAGCTACAGCTAAGCTAAGCTTGCTTGCCCACGTTCCGTATACTTTACTTGGCAATTAATTTAATCCCGTTTTGCCTAATTAGAGCTTTAGAGTTTCCTCTATTATCCACGGCACCGGGCGATTCCCGAGACGAAATTAATTTCTTTGAATAAATAGGGAAGCGGTTCTATCCCAAATTTTGATTTATTTCGCCTCACTTTATTTCGTTACTGAGTTTTTACTCTTCTTTCATTTTTCACAACATACAGCCAAGCAGTACAATGACATAATCGTGGAAATTACTAGTCAAATTGGAATAATAAAAATATCTGCCATCTCACTGGAAGTTTGAGGACTTGCTATTCACCGCCCATGGCTCAATCGACCCAATGCACATTTGGTGGGAAACTGCTCCAAGAACGATCGATGCAATCCGGGACTTGAATGAGTACCCGTATACTATTTTCACGGTTCTCGCCGGAAAGGACGGCACTTCTGCGCCGGCGCAGACATCAGAAATGGTGGAGAGGCCTGGTTTCTTGAGTCGGCAGATATTATTTTCGCTGGTTGAGTCGTCTTTCCTGCAGGTCCCCTTCTCAGCCCTCGGTTTGATTCCTGAGAATGGATCAATGGGAAACTTTGCACAGAGCATAGGCGTTCACCGCGCTTACGACTTCCTCATGCTTGGCCGAAAACTTACCGCGCAAGAGCTGGATCTTCCCTGCGTCTGGATTCCACGATAGCGTCAAGTCCTTTCCGCAGGAGCAGCCGGGAGTCAGTGACGGAACAGCATGATGATATCCAAGCGGCTGCAAAACGCGCCGCTGAGGGCTGAGAGACTCTTGGCTATTTACCATGTAATGGAGCCCTCACGGAAAGATTTGTTGACGGAGCACCATTGAGGAGGCTTGGAATGAAGAGTGCAGAACTTGGAGCCGCTTCATCATAATCATGATTAGATGTCCAACAGGCCACAGGCCAAGTCAGTAAAAAAAATCTGTAACCGGTAGTGCATATGTAGGTTCGCTCGCTGCACTTTTGCGAGACTTGGTCATAGTCTCTGGCGCGTTTCCGTCTAGCCGTTGAACCTGAGCAGATGCCTGTATGTCATACTTGGTCTAACATCTATTGCGTTAGGTACTGGCCTCGGTTTCAACCATGGCATCTGATGTGGTAGGTTATTGTGTCAGAGCCCAGCGCAGTGACGGCCCATTCGGCCAATGGTTACTAAATGCAGGCAACATGACAATAGATTGTATAATGTGCGACGACCCATTTCCAAACGTAATCTCAATTGCGGGGATTGATACTTGGCATTGAATATTTGGGGATCAATTTCTATAGATTATAGAAACAAATTGAGTCGCCGCGATGACGTCCTTGGGGCAGTTGAAGGCTGGTTCGCACCTCGGAACCTTTTAAAGCGCAAATATTGTTTGAAACCCTAAATCCAGTGACCACGGTAGGGTTCAGCATCACGATGCTGTTAGTTAAGCTTGAGCTCCGCGAGTTATGCGCCACAATGGACCCACTACGGTCCTTCGGCCACAGCGGATCTACCGAGAAGCGTTGCCAACGAATGACCTTGCATCACGTGGGGTCGCATCCTTGGTGGCGTTTCATTGTCCACCGCGTCAGTGGCGGTCTTGTTTAAACGGAACGCGATGGATTGACAACACGCATGGTTGGTTTGCGCAAACATGGCGATTACATCCTTTGTGCATTGTTGAGTGCCCAGCCTCAACGAACCGAGCTGAAATATCTGATTTTCCTCCAAAGCCGGAAACCCCACCGCCATGAAAAACATCCTCACCTCGATATTCTCTCCACGTAAGACGTCGGAGGACCGAGAGGCCGCTTCATCGCCGCTTGGACCCAAATCAGCGCTCTCGAGCAAGAAATTGAGGAGGAGGTCACTCCAGGAACAAAAGATGGAGAGATCTGTACGATTCGTAGGTTCTGCAGTGCGCGTGCGCATTTCTTCACCTTGGTCAAAATGCTGACTTCTTCTGTGGGCCATGTAGTCACATATCCTAAACGACACAGACATCTCCCCTATATCCACAAAGTCGCCGAATGCAAATTCAAAGTCACCAGAGAAGAAGACGAGTCCGGGGGCAAGCAGCCGCGCGGAAAGCTCACACCGCCCCAGCAATGCGTTGGACCAAGGGGCAGAAGATGGAGAGTACACGTTTAATCGCTTCCTTGACCATCGCTGGAACGGGGACTCGATCGAAATCGAAGTCGAGTGGGAAGAAGGCGATAGCACGTGGGAACGTGAGGACCTGCTGCACCAAGACGCGCCTGACGCGCTGCTAGAGTATTGGGAGAGCCAAGGCGGACGCCCTGTGAACCCGAATAACCCTGACTTGTTCGACATACATGCTATTCGAAAACACAGCAAGGATCGCAAAAAGTTGCTTGTAGAGTGGGTGGGTTACGGCCCAAAGGATGCGACTTGGGTTCCCAGGGCAGTGGTCGAAGAGACCGCGCCAGAGGTTGTAGCTCAGTACTGGAAGACGGTGCAGCCAGCTCGGCCGGGGCGGCGACGACGACGTCGGGCTTGAGACGCTGGCCGTGGCTTTTTCTTCTTTTTCTGTTTTCCCCTTCTTGATGGGCAAATGCCCTGCACTTTTACGACGATGCCAACTTGCTTGGTGGACATGATTCCATGTATTTGTATTTTTATCGGGCCGCTTTCATGCTCCCTATGCAGCGGCGGGTGGTGGTGATGAATGGATGGTGTCTGGCGTTTTATTTCTTTTTCATCATCTTTATTTCTGGGGGGACGGGCTGGAATGAATGTGGCAACACAGCGCAAGGCTAGCAATACGAACTGTGTTTGAGATGACGTGAGACGTGACCACCTAGTAGCTGTTGGTTGTGCCAAAGTGCAAATACGGGCAGGCTTGGGGGCTGTCATGCATCATGGTGCATGGAACCAGACCCCATTGATGGTCGGGAGCAAAGGATGCAATAAAATGCCTCTGGTCTAGCCAAGTAAGCGGCTCAGCTCCCATGGAACAATTCCAAAGGATGGTTGCGGACTGAGGTGCATGGTGCCGAGACAGACGAGGTGTCCGCCCAATCCGGCAAATTAGACTTGATCATCAGTCCAGAATCCCGGCGTCCCCAGTTCAATGTTGCCTCGGCACGCTTCCGTACATCAGCTTGTCAGCGCTCCCCGCATCGGCCGCCGAGCTCCGTTTTGAACAGGAGTTTATTATATGAGTCTACCTTTTGCCTTTCCTTTTCCTTTCCTTGCCTTTGGTTCTTTTTTTTTTTTCTTTTTTTCTTGTTGTCTCGCGGAACCGTTCCTGGGAGTTGCGCGTACATCATTGTGACACCATGACGGTCAATCTGGCCTCCAAATCGCGGGGGCGACCGATTCGGATCGCGAACTGTTCTGGTGCATTAAGGTTCGTCACCGTTCGTGTGTGCCCTCGTAGTTGAATCTGTCATGACTAGATGAATATACGCATCGAGGCGGGGGGTTTTCTGGTGCCTCTCTGAGTTGGCTGTTGAAGCGCTTGCTAACGGCACAAAGCGACCCTGGAGTCTACATGTACAACCAGGCCAAGTATGGCTCTGTCGATGTCATTACTGGCGACTACTTGGCGGGTATGTGTTATCCGCTCACATGCTTCCCCATACCCTCGGGCGTGCGCTTGTTTCTAAAACTCGGGCAATAGAGGCAAACATGGCTGCTGAAGCCGAAAAGCTCGCGGGCGAGCCGGATTCCATCGAGACCGGATGGGTCCGTACTGCCCTCGAGGGCCTGCGGTTGACGTTGCATCTTGCAAACGAGAAGCGCATCAAGATCATCGTCAACGGGGGCGGGCTCAATCCGAGAGGGTTGGCGACAAAGACACACGAGATGGTGCGAAGCATGATGCCACTCTGCCACTTTTCCTAACAAGATCCCAGATCAAGGACAAGAAGCTAGACCTGCGAGTTGCATACATAGACGGCGACAATCTCATGCAAAAGGTTCACGGCCTCCTGCCGGACGCCGCAACGGCTTCGAAAGTCCACCTGGACTCGGCCAACAAGCACGTTCAACTTGCCGAGGACGCCCTGTCTTTTCTCGAGGACCCCGAGCACATGCCCATCGTGGCGGCAAACGCCTATCTCGGATATCGCGCCATAAAACGCGCCCTGGATGAAGGCGCCGACGTCATCATATGCGGCCGGGTGGCTGATGCATCTCCCGTCCTCGGAGCCGCAGCCTGGTGGCATGGCTGGGACGAAACAGACTATGATGAGCTCGCTGGAACGCTGGTTGCTGGCCATCTCATCGAGTGTTCCACGTATGCCACCGGTGGAAACTTTTCCGGAGCGTACAAGCACCCCGTGAGCGCCTTTATCAACCTCGGCCCCCCGATTGCTGAAGTCGCCCACCAAGGGGAATGCGTCATTACCAAACACGAGGAACTGGGTGGTTTCGTCACCCCAGACACCGTCCGGTGCCAGCTACTGTACGAGCTCCAGGGCAACATCTACCTCAACAGCGATGTCAAGGCGGATCTGAGCGGCGTCAAGGTCCAACCCCAAGTGACAAAGAACCGCGTCCATGTCTCCGGCGTCAGGGGCTATCCGCCTCCGCCTACCACAAAGCTGGCAGTGTTCTACAAGGGAGGCTACCAGCTGGAGATTCTGATGAATGCCTGCGGATACGCAACAGATCACAAATGGGATGTTCAAGAGGCGCAGGTGAAGGGCAAGCTGGACGAATGGGGCCTGCTGGACAGGCTCGACGTGTTGGACTTTCAGAGAATCGGCACGCCGCAAGAGAATCCCGTCTCGCAACTCGCGTCCACGACCTACATGAGAATCTTTGCGCAGGCCAAGGACAGGAGCGTTTGCCGGGCCGTAGCCGGCGCTTAAAACTTTGTCTTTATGAGCCACTTCCCCGGTACGTCTGCCACTTGAGCAACGAAGCGTGACACAAGACGGAGCTATGCTGACGAAGGCTTCCAGGCGCGCACTGCTCTTGGGACCTCCGCACCCTCGAGCCGAAGCCCTTCCTGGGATACCTGCCATCCCTCGTGGACCAAGCGGAAATCTCCGAAGCCGCCACCATCCTCACCGACGGCGACGACGCCAGCAAACGGCGCCGAATCCCCGTCGGGTCGCCTCGAATCACGGAGCCGCTCCTCCCTCGCCTCAACTACGAAACCGCCAACCCCGTCCCTCTGGAGTCGTTTGGGCCCAAGACAATGCGGCCCCTGGGAGACGTTGTTCTCGGCCGCTCAGGCGACAAGGGCGGCAACGTCAACCTCGGCCTTTTTGTCCAGACCAAGGACCAATTCGACTGGTTGCGGTCCTTCATGACAAGAGACAAGCTCAGGGAGCTGATGCGCAAGGACTGGCAGGACTGGTACTTTATCGAGCGTGTCGAGTTCCCCGAAATTTACGCCGTGCACTTTGTCGTGTACGGCGCGCTGGGCAGGGGCGTCAGCAGTTCCAAGCTGTTGGATAACCTGGGCAAGGGCTTTGGCGAGTTCATCAGAGCGGGCTGGGTGCCTCTCCCGACGAGATTCCTGCATGAGAACGCGGCGCATCTGTGATGCAATGCCTGGCTGCTGCGTGTTGTATTTCTAGATGTCACTGGATAAAACGTCGATTCTCGCTGCAGACGGCCCCCGGAGAAATTACAAAGAATTTGGAAGTTTTAGAAAACTTAGTAGCCGGTGGCTAACCTGACCTTCCTCACGGTGGACTCCAACAGCGACGACAAAAAGGAGTCGGCGTCCCGAATTCTCAATGGATATGATACATGACACGAGATGGGGATATCTGGGTCTTTTGAACCGGTTGGGAGTCTTCTTTTTTCCAACTTGTTAGCTTGATGCGGTGCAGATGTATAATCCAGGCGTTACAGACCGGCATCTCTTCCTTTGATCGCCTCGGCAGTAAAGAGACGCATGCATTAAGTGTATCTCCGTCTACATTTCCAAGGTTGGTACTCCTGAGATGATTCTTCACAATTACATTTACCGACGGTGGTTCTGGAAAAAAGGAAGTGAGATGGACTATGAGCGCTTTGTATGCAAATTTGCCATCCCAGAGGATCTGCTCGAGGTTATCGTCACGGTCAACCATTAGCTTACTCTGCTTGAAGAAAACAATCTGCAAAGGCTTGTGAACAATTTAGTCCAAAGTAAAGGACTTTCAGTATTATTAATTTCCAAGTTCGTTTAATATCTGAGAACCAGCCAGGCAAGAACCAACCGGGGAACGAAGATAGCTGTGACCTGATATGCACTCGGGAGTGTGATTTCCCTGTGGAACTAGATGTTTTCTTCCCCGGGTCTGAAGATGCTAATTATGCGACATAAACTAGCAAGGCATTTTTTGACGTATGCAGGTCCTAGGAAGCCTTGTTTTTGCGATTGGCAGCAATGGACAGCCTTGGATAGTGGTGTAAGTCCTTGATTAAGCTATCTAGCTAAAATGATTCATCTCCTTTTACGGTCTGTAGCGGAATACATTTCGTCCAAGAGGAGAAATACCCAATTATAGCTCAGTATATTATGGTATTTAGCGCGAGAGCGAGGTATCTCACCTACTCCAGCAGAAGACGGCACATGTTGGCGAGCAAGCTTGCTGACAGCAAAGTTAACATGGAGCACGCCCTGATGACAGGCTCTTGGTCAATGCGGTCGCTGTTATCCGCATACCCAACTGATGAGCATTTGACTAATTAGCCTAGTGGTACTGGGATCTCTCTATGACCTTTCCCTTGAATCGAACATGGGCACAGACATTAAATGCGCTGGTTCGCCTCATTAATAAAACTTCCTGGTCCGAGTCCGCACTTCGGCCTTTATAAGCGAAGAATGCTCACATGATATGACTTGACGCGCGATTGGACACATGTACTGTTGTCGTAGTGACCAAGTACACGAGCCCAATATCGTTGCGGCATGCGTTAGCCCTTGAGATGCGTTACACTGAGTATTCAACCCCGATTAGCAACACCGCTACCCACACCCCCCCGACGGCGACAAACAAAGCAGTCAAAGTACGAGCGGCACTGTGATTCACCAATAGGATGGAGCTGCCATGTATCTTCATTTCCCTCTTGGCGACGCCATGTATCCTGACTGTGGCCGCAGCCCAATCTACTGCTACCGAAATGGATCTTGTATTCCCCCGCGCAAACGAGACATATCAGCGCGTGTACCCGTTTCCAATCGTATTCGCCATCCAGAGCCCAGCTCCAGTATGGCCTCACAGCTTCCAATTGCTCTGGCAAACGGGGTCTGTCGGCGAAGAGCCCTCACGTTTCGACTGCAACCGGCTTCCCGTGCGAAGGGCCGATCTGTGGACATGGGGAAACTATAACGGACCTAAAACGATGACGATGATATATCCCGCCGGCGTATACATAAACAGCACCGTCGAGCAGTGGTATTTCGCGTGGCACATCACCATGCTTCGCAACTGTACCCAAGGCACCAACGGAGTCGCGAAACGTCCAGTGGCCGAGGGCAAAATTTTCTTCAACGTGAGCCACGAGGGGAAAACCCACGACATTTTCCAGGGCAAAGAGAGCACAGTCTGCCCACTGCCGCTATGGACTGTCCACATTGTCCACCAAGCGGACAGTCATGTCGTACGCAACCAGAGCCAGTACGGCGACAGCACCAACACCATGTGTCCTGATTTTGACCCCGATGATGCACATCCCAGCCCGGAGCCCTGCAAGGCCAAGGCTACGGAGAAATTGGCCCAGAATGTGACCCGGGAAATGCTGTCAACAGCAAAATGTGCCAGTCTACATTCTTGGCCGAATGCTTCCCTCGTGGGACCATGCAGCGATACGAATTGGGAGTCGAGTCTAGCACCGGAGATGGGGTCTTTAATGCTTGGAACTGAGATTCCAACGGCTATTATACTAGCTATTGCGTTTGTACTGTCAGTGTACATCCCCCAGAGTTGCGGATTTCGCGGCTAGTCCGAGATTATCAGCGGCTCGAAGGCCATATATACAATGTTCCAGGCTTACAGTTATACACTGTGGAGGCATAATGGTTTGCAGACTGTGCAGTCTTATATTGACATATGGGATTGAAAAGTGTAATTGACCTGGGCTGAATCGGCCACTTCTTGATTAAAAATGTAGTATCCCAAAGCAATATCCGGCCTTCGCACGGCCGTCAACATAAATATATACCAGCTTGATCAACCTCTTTATTTTACACTTTTACAAACCCAAATCGCGCAGCACCTTGGCCGAACGGGCGGAAAGTCGACTGCCGTGTGATAGGCCAGAGCCGTCAGTAAGCACACTGCGTCCCGTTTCACTCCATCTCCTCCGCGACTGCATCTGGGAAACAAACTTGGGCCACGTGTTGGTCAAGGCGAGGTACTTGATATGGCTCTGGACATTGTCGAACACTCCGAGGGTAAAGGTTGCGGGTATTTCGCCGCGGTATTTCACGAGTGTTTCAATGTCGGAGTGTGAGACTTCGCGGCTCAATGACATGGGCGCCTCAATGTCAAAAGGAGTAGCGAGGTTTGCAGATGCCTCGCCGCACAGGATACGGGTGGGCTTCTCGAATACATCTTCGAGATGCTTGAGCTCTCGTGATGACAAGTTCAGTGGGAATTCGGCATCACGGGGGCTGATGAAGTCGGTGTAGATGGCGAGCGCCTCGTTGTAGACGTCGCGCTTTTGCTCGCCCGTGGGCATCAGGGGCCACGAGGTCTTCCACATGGCCATGCGTGTCAGGAAAGCAACGTTCTCGCCGGAGAAGTCATTCAGCGCGGAGAAATCTGGAGGGGACCGGGGTTGTCCTTCAGGACATAGTCGAGCGCAGTCATGGTCAGGAGCCGATCCCCAAGCTCTTCGTCGAGATAGTCCAGCGGCATGCCCTTCTCAAAGAGGCTTTGTGACGAGCCCTTGCCCCCCAATGTCAGCGCTTGCGAGGCGCTGCTCAACTGCGATGCCGTGTCCCATTTTGCATTACTCTGGTTGACCTTCCTTTGTACGAACCACATTGACAAGACCTCGAAAACGGGCACGAAGACGGTGAATATTTCGAAAATCATGATGGAGAGGTGGATCCTGTATTGTGTTAGATATAGCTCTGGTCATTTCCGTTGTTATAAACGCATACCATTGACTCGGCGTGAAGTAGAGATTGACCTTTTCAAATGCCGGAAGGTAAGAAGCGATGAGGAACATGGGAGTTGCGTGAAGACTGCAAAAATACAATTAGCATGGGAGAATACGCCATAAACCTGTGCAGCAAGCTTACTTTGCCAAACAGCAACCAATAGTCTGTGTTCGCCAACCCATAGTGTCGCGAATCCCCCAAGCGCGCCAAATCAAGTACGGCGCAACCTAGGAGTGCGGTTAATATGTATTCTGCACTCTTCACAAAATCAAATTGACCTACAATCCACGTCCAGTCCACCTGCCAGAGAACAGACGGCCACCATTCCCACCCACAACCCAGGTCAACCAGTTGCTCCGGCAGCGTATCGCCCTTGATTTGCGTACCGGGCAGGCCATATGTAGGGTGGTATTTCTTGCAAGCAAACCACATGCCGACAGCCAAAAAAACCTAGCAGCACCTGTCAGCGGAAAAGTACACCGGACATATGCGGCTCGACAAATTGCAGACCTGTGCCACCATGGCGATGCCAATAAACAGCATAGTTTGCGCGGTGTAGTTCATATTCCGAACACGGCAAAGGAAGGAGGTCCTGGCGCCATTGCACCCCGGTACGACACGATGCTGAGGATTTGTAAACTGCTTCTGCAGCTTGGCGACGTGGAGAAAACGAAGGTTGGAGGCGTGGAAGAGGGCAATGCCCAGCGGGAAGTAGATGCCCATGAAGAAGTACTGAATGTCGTACGCCAGGATGACGGGTATTGAGCGGCCAATCGGGTATGTAATTTGCGCCAGGATCCAGTACGAGTGAAGAAGAATAATGGAGCCAAAGGAGAGAGGCAGTCCGCGAATTTTGAGAGTTGGCTTGTTTCGGTTCACGACGCAAAACACCATGCCCGACAGCACGAGAAACGTCCACGTGCAGCAGAAGCCGATGTAGAACCTGCCGACTTTGTCCCACAGGGGAGGCGAGGTCGGCATGTCGTATATCGACATGTGAAGCAAGTCTGAGGTTGCCATTTCTGCTTACCCCGTGCCCAAATCTTGCTGGCTGAGCTTCCTTTTGTCACGAGCGTTTCTGGCTGGGGCGACAACGGATTGAAATAGGAACCCACGGGAAGGGAAAAAGAACAAAGGAAAGAGAGAGAATTGGGCTGGAATATCTCCTCATAGACGTGGAACTATTTGGTATTTAGTATGAGAAGGAAGTCGTGAAAGTGAATCAGATCCCGCATACACTGTTTTGTCAGTCGCTGTATATCACTGTCCTTGTCTCCCCGCAAGTGATCGTCACTTTAGTTGCATTGGGGTCTGTGCAGTGTTTTTTTCAGTTCCTTGGTAATGAATTTTAGGGTATAGCTATAGAATTTCTTTCAATCTTGACGCGCGGTGTGTCTACCGTTGAATTCGGCAGAAGGGATCGGTCTCCATCATCTCAGGGAAGATTGCGAGAAAGGAATATAGCACACCAGGCGAAGCATAAAACATGGCGTGTGACGAAGTTTCTTTTTCGTGTTTCTACTCTCTGCTTCTTCACCAGCAAGAGTTAGCCCTAGAAAAAGCAACAAAGCCGCACTTGTTTGACCTTCTCGATTGTCCATAACGGCCACGGGGCAAACGGCTTCTTGTCCACGCAGGATAGAGTACCCTTCCATCACGCCCACAATGTCGTTCACTGTACGTTTAAGAGTTGGTGCGTGGGTTCGGGGCCGCTTTGACAAACTCTTGGCTTCTGGTTTTAGTAAGGGGAACCCGGGGATCAGCCCCGGCATTTGATTCACAACGGCCACTGGCTGACAGACGGCTGCTCAATTGCAGAGAGGACAAGCCACAGGGTGGGAAGCTGGTGGTGTTGCATACGCTATATTTCAGGTTTTTCGGGTGAGACATCGCAAAGAGGCAACTTATTAAACTACTTTAGTCTTGCTACCAGACTGGTGACGCCGACAATTGTCGGAGGCTACTATTTTCGCATCACGACAAAACCCGGCGCCATGCTACCTTTGTGATCCGCTTTATGAGGCAAAAGTCTCATCATTGTGAATCATGGTAATGCCGAATTTTGCGCAGGACTGGATCGGGACGACAATAAGTCTTGAGACTAGGCCAGAGCGCCGACCTTGGCTCGGACTGGTAGCGACGGCAATCAGAAACACAGGACATGTCGCGATGCTTTTCAAATTTCATAGATTTTTCATTCTCTTCATCTAACAAACGTTGAGCTATTGTTCCTGTTATGTGTGAGTAGTAGGCGAGAAGAGGAGTTGCAGAAGTAGTCTAGTGTCAGACGGATGACACCTCGGCAAAGCAGGGTTGCATGCAAGTCGCACAGGACATTCTGTACTCTATCAGATTATTTCTGGAATAGGGACGTGAAGATGCCTGCCCGTATGAACTCATGTTCGTCTTAAACCATCATGGTCACGCATGCAACCATGAGTACATCCTCTTGCACGTGTTTCCCATTCGCTGAGATGGGATCATGACCATGCCCTTGGAGCACCATATATCTTTGGATGACTAGGGCCAGTAAGCAGATTCTACTAGTCGGTACTTCTATCATTACTTTAAGCCTACCAGAAAACAAGTATCGACAACTCGATTACAGAGTTCTGCCGGGGTCTTCTAGGGCCTAGTGGAGAGACATACCTCACTAAAGCCTTCACTACTCTTAAGCTATGGCAAGAAGCCTTCAAATGTTGTCATATTTCAGTCTCTCCATCTGCTAGGCGCCTTTGATCTTCTAGTTGACGCTCAATGATGCGTCGCCAACTCTCCAAGCTTCTGACCTGCAGACCCTCCACTTTGGCTTCATCGTCCCAAACCCGCAGCTGACACATCTCCTTGCACCACGGGCTGCTCCCAAAGTCGTCGAGCTCCTTGCCGCTCATGGGGCCGCCTTGGTAGGCCAGGGATTTCTTCGAGGCGTCCGAGAGCTTGTCGTAGTATCCGCTGTCAACTGCGCACAGGTACCTCTTCGCCTCGACGTGCGACGCAACCAGACGGGCCACCTTGGATGAAAAGCCAAGCGCAAGAAGAAACTCGCCCCCCAAAGTGTCATGGCCAACCCGGCCCACGCTCTCCCCTGCGGCCGCGCCGCCAAGATTCTCGGCTTTGCCGCCAGTCAGCGAGATCAGGTCCCTGCCGGGGACGAATTGACCAATATCGTGGAGAAGGGCTGCTACTTGGGTTGCCTCGTCCACGGGCGGCGATGCAGAGGCCGCTTGGTCTGCGGCCTGGAGCGAGTGTTGCAGCTGAGATATCGGTTCGCCAATGTACGGTGTGTTGTCGGATGCCTCGAGGACGGAGAGAAGATACGAGGTGACGGATTTTGGCTCAAGGGGGCTGGGGATCCGCATAGCCATGGCCGTAAATGAAAAAGAAGCCTCGCACGCTTCAAATTGGGTTGAAACAGGAAGAACAACCAGAGGGGAATGTCCGAAGTTGTTCTCGGCGTCTCTTCAGATGTGCGATTGAGTTTGTGACCAAGTTTACACACGTGGGTGCCCTGACGCTGGGGGAAACACGACAACGAGCTTACATATATTGCCCGTCATAAATTAGCTGATTGGAAATGTTATGCATAGCCTGTTATGGATCAATTGATGCCATCGGACTTCCCCCCGAGCTGCTCGAACCCCACTGGCAGCATGAAATCTCCTCGTCGTGGTGAAGCACGTGGCAGTTGAGAGCCCAATGGCGAAACAATACCATACGTGTAGGTCATGCGATAGTCGGTTTGATTCATCTCTTGAATGTATTACATCTCGGCGGCCAATTGCGAAAGTTTGCCAGACTTTGCGAATTTACAAACAAGGCAGAAAGACTGTCACAGTCAGGCAACTTTGGGAGCTCTACGTCTAATTTTGTTTGAGAGTTTGGCCAAGGTTACTTAGGCTTGTAATTTACAGTCATCTGAGCCTTCATATCTTAAATTGCGAAATTAACGACTTGATTCAATTCCATATACTGTATCGTACGATGACCATTACAAACTTAAAATGCTACCTGCTTACCGGCATCTACACTCAACATGGGTGACCCAAAACCGTACGTCAAAGCCCCTTTGGCATAAGACTCTCCCTCCTTTCGCATATGGGTTGCCGGCCACTCCTTCTTGCGGTCCTCGTAGTACTCACGGTGCATATCGCCCTCACGGGCCAAGTTGTAAGTGGCGTAGATAGCCTTGCGGTCATCAGAGCTGTTGTTCGGCCCGCTACGGTGAGCCAAGTACGACGGGAAGATGAGAAGTTGGCCTAAATCGATCCGTTCAGTAAGCAAGTCGCAGCTTCGGCAAACTTGTCTCAATACACACCTGCCTCAAGCTCAACAGGAACCCACTTCTGAGAGTCAACCCAGTCAGACTCGATGCAGTGAGTCTTGTCATTGATTGGGATGGTCATCTCGTGGCTGCCATCAACGACTTCCAAGCCACCATTGGTCATGTTGGATGGGTCAACGCTGAGAAGAATAGTCAGGTGCTTGACGTCCTTGATTTGCGTATATGCCACGGCATCAATGTGAGGAGCGAAGCCACCTGGTTTTTTTTTGGTCAGTAGATTTCCCACAGAGTAAAGACTCGATTTTGCTCAACTCACCGCTGCCGGCGAGCTTGTAGTTGATCTTTTCCTTGAAGAGGTGCATTGGCTCGCCGGCCAGATCATTCAAAAGACCAAGCAGTTTTTTCCCACGAAGGAGATTATTGAAACCCGTGTGGTAATCAACAAAGTTTTCGGTGCGGCAGAGAACACGTTTGCCAGCCGCATTTACTTCCTGATATGAAGATGAGCATTTCTGGATAAAGACGGTCAATCAGCGGGTGTTCAAGACAAACCTCGTAGGGCATGAACTCGGATTCCGTAGTAGGCTTCCAGTCGTGGACTTCTTGCGCCCAGCTCTGGAGGTTCTTGACTTCCTCTGGGGACAAAAAGTCACGGATAATGAGATATCCCTTCTCCTTGAAGAAGGAAATTTGCTGGTTGGTAACGACCATGATGAAGGTTATCCGGACGTGGTATGTCGTTCAGATTATGCCTGATGCAGGCTGTCTGTACCAGGAGGGGGCTAAGATGAATCCAGAGTCTTGTCGCGTGAGGGTGCCCTGCAGGCTGAAGGAGACGAAGGTTGTCACAGAGTTTAATACCAAGCCTTCAATTCCGAGCCCAATGATGCTCGTACCAGGAATCCTTCAAAAGACGCCGCTGATTCAGGTTCCACGAATCACACACGTGTTAATGTACTCGTCTTGATGCTGTCAAAGATATACTCGGACTTCCTCCCGGATCCCCATGCAGCCACACCCGTGTGGAGAAGGCTTCCGGAAAGCAATACGGAAATGGCTTCTACAGGCCTACAATTGTTCCCGCTGTGGAACCGCATCTTGATACACGTGGGCCAACGTCAACAGTTCATTCATCAACTCAAATCTAGAAAGGCCCGTGGGCGACGGCTTATCGGCAAATCTGCAGGCATGGATGAAGTGGCGGGGCATGAAACGTTTATGCACCGGGCTTGGCTGATGAATGGTTTGGTTCCTGCCGGCGACGTTAGATTGTTTCATGCGGTCAATCATCTTCAAACTGTATCGAATGCAACCCACGTGGGCTGAATACATGCTGCGACAGAATTAGACAAGATGCTGATACGGATACCAGGTCTGTCTCGAGGGTCTCACAGTGAAGCGCCACGCATTGACTGTTGGGATTGCTTGGACGGAATGATATCTTGGTTTTTATAAATACGCCCTGGTTCGTTATCGCGCACCCAGAAACCACATCCCCCTAGCCTCTGCATGTCATCCTTCCGCTCGGCGCTTGGACAGCCCGCATCAAAGATTCAGACAAGGTAGGCTTCTGGAAGGATCAGTAGCCATGAAGAACTTTGGAGAGAATGCCACTGCAGTGGACGTTACCCTGTCGGCCACAGACAATGCTGCCGATCTAAAGGACGAACAGGTTGTACCCCAACCCGTCAGCAAGGCCTCATCAGTGCTCATGGTTCTGGTCGGTGGCCTGGCCCTATTTTCTGATGGTTACAATGCGCAAATCGTTGGCTACATGAACACTGTGCTGGCAAAGCTATACCCAGAAGAATACACCAAGGACGTGAAAACTAGAGTCTCCAACGCCTTTCTCATCGGCGAGGTGTTTGGCATGTTGTTTTTCGGCTGGGCCATCGACAAGCTGGGCAGACGCAACGGCATTTTCTGGGCCACATTCTTTCTCGTCCTGGGCTTGGTTCTGTCCACGGCCGCCCATGGCACCACTGTCGGTGGCATGTTTTGGATGATGATTATCGGGCGCGGTGTAGCAGGATTCGGTGCCGGAGGTAAGTCAAGATGGGCGTCGCCGTCGAACGTGGCTAATATCGACATGCTGCCAAAAGGTGAATACCCAACCTGCGCTACGAGTGCTGCCGAAGCCGCCGATGAGACCTTGTCTGTGCGACGACGACGCGGTATCCTCACTGCGGTCGCCACCGACTTTTCCATCGACATGGGCTTCGTGATTGCCGGTATTGTCGCGCTCATTGTCTTGGCTGCGTACAGTTGGAACGTCGGCGATGGTGTTTGGCGAGTTAGTTTTGGTTTGGGCATTGTTCTACCAGTGGCACTGCTCTTCTTCAGACTGCGACTCATAAACTCTACCCAGTACCAGAAGCACGCCATGAAACAGCATATTCCGTACTGGCTGGTTATCAGGCGTTACTGGAAGCCCATGCTTGGGACCTCCCTGGCCTGGTTCATGTACGACTTTGTTGTACGTGCCAAGTTCCCCCATGACGTGCGGTTTGGAACGAAACTGATTCAAGAATGCAGACTTACCCCTTTGGAATTTTCGGCTCAACAGTCATTGCAACGCTTAACCCCAACGACACTTTGATGGAGAACATTGGGTACGGTACGGTGCTCAACTTGTTCTACATCCCAGGCACTTTGATCGGCGGCATCCTCATGGATAAGATTGGCCGCAAGCAGACCATGACTCTTGGATTCGTCCTCTGGTCTATTCTCGGATTCATCATCGGGGGCGCCTTGCACCAGATCCTCCCTATTTTCCCCCTCTTCGTCGTTCTCTACGGCATTTTCAACACCCTTGGAGAAATGGGTCCCGGCGTACGTCCCTTGGACTCACAAACACGAAATTACCCCGGCTAACAGATGAGCAGGTTGCGACTTTCCTCTGTGGTGCCGAGTCTTTCCCTACCCCCGTTCGCGGCCATTTCCTCGGGTTTGCTGCCGCCGTTGGAAAGGCCGGTGCAGCGATCGGCACTCAAGTCTTCATCCCTATCCAGAACTCCTTCGGTGACACCAACAAGGGTGTTCAAGGTGTTTTCCTCATTGGTGCGGCGTTCGCCATGACCGGTGCTGCAATCTCGTGGTTCTTGATCCCTGACAAGGAGAGAGATCTCGAGAATGAGGACGCTCTTTTTAGAGAGTATCTCGCTCAGCACGGATACGCTGGGGTTTTTGGAGACGTCAGCAGGGACGGCTCAACTGCCACTGCTAACTTGGCTGGGAAACTTTAAAAAAAGAGAGCAAGAAATATATGCAGAAGGGACAGCAGGGTGAATAGCAGACTAGCTACTCATGTCGGCGCAGTGGTTTGTGATGAGACTTGCATGCTGAAAACGATTCATGTTAGGCGCGGTATCGCAGTACATCATATATTTAGAAGGAGTTGGATTGTAGTTTCAATTGGATATTGTGGTATTGCTTCATAGACTGCAACAACGATTGGAGTAGTCTGCCTAGCCGTTTAGCCTGCCCGGGACATCAGGCTTAAAATGTTTCATCAGAGTCTTGTTTCACTTTGCCTCCAACCTATGTTGCATTCTTCTTTCCACCCTTTTTGCAGCATTCAATTGCTTCATTCGTGTAGCAAGCACAGACCAAAATTCGAAGGCGGGGATATGAGAAAGGCTTCGCTGATCGACTGCTCTAACATGCGATAATTGCGTGGCAAGTGTAGCCAAGGTACGATCGTTTCTCGTCATCAATTCTGACTCAGGTTCTGCCCTTGACCCGTCTGATCGTATCGGGACTTGCAGCTCACGAGCAGGTGCACGCCGCGATAAGCTTTCGCTGGGTAACCTTCGTTGACCAAGCATCTTTCCTGAAGGCAGCTTCATGGTCGACTCCCCAGAAACAATTATGTCTTGAGGCTTTTGAATGATGGGAAACTCATAAAAATCTCGTATATCGTCATTCATTTCAAGTCGGCAGTGAGCCTTTGCTATCATGTGCTGTTGTATGCCCTCGACGGATCGCCTGGTCTTGCTACAGAGAAGACATTCTTGGTACCCGAATATGACGAGGTGAAAGTACCACATTAGGGTCTCTACATCAACAATGAGAGAGTCCTGATATGGAATTATAAATGAGTGTGCTTGTGACATGTGGGAGAGGTTTTGTTCAAATGTGCCACACAATGTGCCGCAGAAGAGACATTGACCAGGTACGAAGTTTGGAGTCGTGTCGCTCTCTGTATCTGAGTTCCCTCCGCTGGAGAGCTCATCATCTGATTCGTCACTTTCTGTTGAAGGACGATTGCGAGATAAAATTATGCTATTCGACTGCTGTGCTGATCTCGAGCCATGTTTATTCCACTCGTCCTGTCCGGCCGTGGCAGACGGCAACAAGACCAGATGAGGTTACGCGATCTTTGAGATTTGCAGCACTGCGCGATTAGTACATTATGAGACCGAACAAGGGAGGAATTGACTGCCACCTACTGAGTATCGCTTTCAGCATGCGCCCGCCACGTTTGTGACGAGCTAAACTCAACGTTGCAAGTTCTGCAATTGAACACGCTGTTGTCCATGTTGACGGTGTTGGGATGTGAGTTGAGATTGACGTGTTAGCCATGCGAGTTTCGCAACTTGATCAAGCGTTTTGGTTCTGCTTTAATATTTGTCACTTGATGGTGAAGACTCATCTATTTATATAGTTTTATTTCGGTCCAAGACCTTGACAATGCCTACGTATGGGACCGGCTACTATGGGAATCTGGCATTAACTCTGGACAGATAAAAGACGCACTAAATTCAATGCCAAGTTTCTGTGGCAGGTTGTGTAATTAGCCGAACGGCTAGTAATAAAAGAACCCTTTTAGTTAACTCTTATACTATTAATATAAGTTATTTGCTTCTTTAAATTAGCATATCTCTTATATTAAGCTACTAGTATGAAACTAGAATGAAAAACTCACATTATATTATTAATTTAGACTTTTTAATTTAGTTATATTTTTTTATTAACTTATTAAAAAAAAAAAAAAAAAAAAACGGGCTAGATAGAGGGCATCTAGTAACACTGTATTTTAGCCGTACCTAGGCCAGGGAATCGTAATTAACCACGTAAGACGCCATAAATAATTCAATGTTACCTTATAATAATAAAAGAAGCCTTATAAGAATATTATTATAAACCTAGTTTACTATAATTAATTCGACTGCATAGACTAGACGTCTATTAGAAGAGGGCGGAGTCAACCAGTCTGGTTAAGTCCCTCTCATTTTTAGGAGCCCAGCCGTATACGCACGTGCTTAAAACAGCACGTCACTGCGAGGCGCTGCCTGGCGCCTCGACCACCACCCTTCGCCTCACCCTTTTGCCTCATGTTTTTCCACGAAATAACGGGAATCCTGCCAGCATTGCTATCAGTATGAGTGTTTTTGACGAAATAGCCGAGAAATCCGGCGACACCCTATGGGACAAGTGGAAGGACGAAGTTCTCGGCGTTCGTGCTGAAGTAGCATCATTCGTTGCTTGTCGACTAGACCGTGGCGCTGGAGAGGTTGTTGACTGGTTTGAGGGCTCCTTTAACTTCTGCCTCCGGGTTGAGTTCAAAGATGGAGGTGCCGACGCCATTATTCGATTCCCTGGACCCGGACACACAACCTTTAGGGATGAAAAGGTCGCCAACGAGGTTCAGGTCATTAAGTTTCTCCATGAGCGGACGAACATCCCTGTACCAAAGTTGCTAAGCTGGGGCTTATCTCAAGATAGCCTTCACCACTTTGGGCCGTTTATCATCTCCGAGTTTGTCCACGGAATTCATTTATCTGATATTCTTAAAGACCCAGCTTCCCCCGCAAAGCTCTATCTTAATCCCAACGTTGACACACAAATACTGGACGATGTATTTGAACAAATGGCTAATATTTTACTTGAACTATTCCAATTTAACTTTTCTCGCATTGGAGCAGTCTCCAAAGACCCAACTTCAGCGACATGGTCTGTCACTGGACGACCTCTCACCTACAGCATGAACGAGTTGGCAACGACAGCTTTCTATCCTGTCGACAAGTTTGCTACTGATCCATTTACTACGGCTAGCGGCTACTTCAGGCATCTCTGCCAGGAAAATTTAACTCACCTTTTCACTCAACGCAACCTCTCTACCTCCAGGAAGCAAGCTGAGGAGCACTACGTTGCACGGCATCTATTTGCGCGTCTAGTTAACAAGCACTGTATTTGCGATAACGGACCCTTTAAACTGTTTTGTGATGACCTCCGGCCTCAGAATATCCTTATAGATCCAAAGTCCCACCGCATAACGGCTGTTCTTGACCTCGAATTCACAAATGCCATGCCGAGCCAGTTCGCCACCGAACCGCCGTGGTGGTTATTGCTAGCTGGGCCGGATGCATATCTCATTCGGGGCCGCAGTATGGAGGATTTCCTGTTGGCTTATGAACCTCGTTTGGAGCAGTTCCTGCAAGCCATGCAACGGGTTGAAAAGTCAAGAGGAATGCTGCATAGTGAGAATTCTCTGTCCAGTCTAATGCGCGAATCCTGGGATACGAAACGCTTTTGGTTCAATTACGCGGCGAGGAAACCATTCGACGTGGACGTACTCTTTTATAATTGTTTGCATGAAATCAGCACAGGCGTTGACACATTGGATGAGCATGTTCGTGCAGCACTAGCACCGTTTGTCAAGATGAAGATGGAACAGTTGAGGGCATATGACGAAGATTGCAACAGATTGCTATAATACCATCATAGGACTTCAACAGAGAGGACTTTGAGAGACAAATATGTCACGCATCAAAATTATTCAGACATTGGACAGGTTAAAAGAACGAGGGACTCTTAATTTCCTCCACAGACAGCGAATCATACGGGAGCTAAATACTTGTAGAGATATCTTTGCCAGCGAGAAGCAGTGTGACGATCGCAGTTTCCTTGAATGAGTGAGTTTATCTCCACAGAAGGAAATTTCATCACAGAACGGTTTGAGATAACAGTGTAGGAAACTTGAGGATCTGCCGCATTATCACAAGAGTTACTTTTTATGCCCCTCACGATTTCCACCAATGCCACGACGCTCTTGAGATATCTTTGCTGCTGCTTCCGCTGCTTGACGTGTCTCTCGTTTCTTCCTTGCTGCTTCGCGTTTCTCCTTGGACTTTCTGGAAGCTGCTTCCATTCAACAGTTCCTCATCGGTAGGGATCCAACGGCTCAAGGAGGGCTTCAAGTTCACAGCTCAATTCATCTAATAACAGCCTTTGCTATTAAAGGTTCTTGGTTTACTCAAGGCCGGGATGGACCAAAGAGCTCTATAAATACAAGAAGTCACTAAGGGCCTTCTGACCTAGGTCCCCTGATTGTAGCCCTCGTGTAACCGTGAGACATTTCCCCTCTCATGTAGAGTGACCTATCATAAAGACATGGGTAAAGTATATAATGATATCATAAACGCAAATGACGTATGTAATATAACATGGGGTTGCATGGCTGGAACGCAGGCGTTGCAGTCTTTGACCAATGTCCCTGCCTAATAGAAACGACTTGACAGACACTAAGCAGCAAGGGCTTTACAAAGTTCGGCTTAATCTAACATAAATAAAAGACTCTTGTACAAGGATATATGTAGGTAAAGATAGCTTAGATATTAATTATGGAATTTCGTCCAACTAACAAGGAAAGTTCGGTAACTCTCTGCCTTGGATAACTATGTCTGCGGACGAAGACGCATCCAAAACAGTATAGTGGCGTCAGTAGACCCAAAGACTTGCAAATGGGTCGACTCAGTCAATTACGGCGAGGAGCGAGAGCCCGACACAAACCAGACCCGATTGACAAAGAATGAGGTATTTGTCTTTCAATCTAAGGTACCCCCTCGAGTAAGTCGTAAAGGAACACCTTGCCCATATTACAGCATATCTGCCATAATACGCTCTCTGGTGCATAATTATTACGTTATATATTGTTAAAGCTGTGCATGTTATATCTCCTGTTAGGGGTAGATGCAGCGGCAACGGGGTATTGTGGATGGTCTCTAGTGACATTTGTGTTACATGGAATTTCACGAATGCTACATGATAAGGGCTAGGATTACGCGGCCTTAGGCCACGAGGCTCCCCGAGCTCTTGTATAAATAGAGCTCTTTGCGTTATCTAGGCCTTGAGAAAACCAAGGACTGTTGTTAGATGAATTAAGTCATCACTCTAGGATCTCCATTGGGCCCCACAAATTCGAACACTTGGATCCAACTTTTGCCGCGCAAGAGTAAGTAGCTACTCGTGACCTTGCCAGTTAGAAAGTTTTCTTTGGGGGGGGATGAAGCAATGGGCACGCAAGTCTATTGCCATAACAGAAAGAAATAACATCTAGAAAATCAGGAAGTTTACCTACCACACACTCCGCCATTTTCAGTATCAATCTCGTACTTTATTACTCGCATCTCAGATAATCTATCACGCAAGACCCCCAAGGTCGCCACACAGCATGCAGTACTTCGGCATCTTTGGCCTTCTTGCAATCTCCTCCACGTTTGCAGAGGCTCAAAAAGTCATTGTATGTTAAATAGGTTGTGTTGGATGATTGTTTTGAACGGCTAACGAAAATAAACTAGGGCAATCGCCATCCGGACCCGCATTGTCTGACTAGAATCTATGCTCCCATTCATGATACACAATGCATTGATACTCACTCTTTGGGGTATGGACTTGTCCTTTGAGTCGCGATATTCGCATCGGCTACATTGTATCGTGCTAACCTGCATAATGGTAGATGTGTTGCTATATACGAGGGGGGTGAGTGCGTGCTCTACAGGTATGCTGCTCTAGAGACTAGATTAACCACGCGCAAAACTAAGATTTTAATTGATAGCGACCAAGACTGCACCGGCTCTGGGTATTCGATTACGGCAAAAGAGGGAAGCTATCCTTTGAAAGACTGGGGAAATCCTGGCTCGATCCGATGCTTTGTGAACTAGGCCGACAAGTATCTAGTGGATAATATGCTGTGGTTTCTTCAGTCAGTTGGATACGATGGCAGCTGTTGTCGTAGGACGTTACGGGAGCCAAGGAACTTTTATTAGAACAGCTCCATTAGCAATAAGAGCAAAGGCACTCAGGTTATACATGGAATCTTAAACATTATCTTTCTGTAGAGAGTTTGGTCAGCGTATGAGGTGTACAAATCCTATGACACACCCCTTATGCGTACTGAGAAATATACGCGTTCAATAAGCAACTGTAAGGTAAAAAGGCGTGGAATCGTACCGGAGTAGTTAGGCACAGCGGATTGAATTGGTGGCCGACGTAGAGTGAATAGAGAACGGTGGGCAAGCAATGAAGCTGAGCGCAGCTTTCGGCTTTGCATCTTTAATATAATATGTCATACGGGTATCCCCTAGACTCTAATTGGTTCATTAAAAAATACTCTTCGGTAACTGGTCAACGAAAAAACGCCACTCACGTGTAGTATCGTGAACCTCGCGATTTGGTAGTGTTGATGTGCCCGTTCCGGGAGGGTATAAATTACAGGCCGCTTTGCCTATCCCTAGGGCAACTTGAATGGAGGCTTTGTTTGAAGTCAAAGCAATATCTTTATATACTTTCCTGCTGCAAAGTACCCTTTCCCTGCTGCAAAGTACCCTTTCCAGGCAGTGAACAAACGTTCACCTGTGTCATCGCGGTCTCGACTCTTGGTGGTTGCCCGCTGTCCTGCGCCAGCCATTCCCCAGCGACAGGTATCCTACCAGACTTTTGTCTTAGCCTTGACGGTGCGCTTTCCACTGTCAGTAACTACACAACTGTCTGTCAACGCCGCTCGAGTTCGGCGCATATGGTTCTTGTTAAGGGTTGCGGCACGGAAGCTGCGAATGAAGGCTGCTATGTTCGGGCCAACAACGTCATTAGTTCTGCCAAAAGAGACAAGTTAGACTCAACGGTGCGTCGCAATAATGGGATGTGGGGGCTCACACATGTCTTCCAGAACCCGGCATTCCTTTCCTACTCTGTCCTTGGCCCAGTCGAAGTCCTTGACATAGACATCTCGTGCCGACTTGCCTTCATTCTGTCGATTTGTCCATGGGAAACCGAGTTTTTTGTCGAGCGCGTTCAACTCTCTGTACAGATATCCTCTGACCTCTTGAACGCGCTTTGCTCATAACGCCCCATTAATATTAGTGAAACTGAGCTGGAGCTTCTAAAAGTGGTAATTCACTCACTGTCACACGATAGACTCGCAGCTTCTTCAACTATTTCCTACTTTTCAGCTCAGATTTCGGCGGAGAAGACGGGGGCTAGTCGCCTTACGTTGCGGAAGCTTTTACAGTCTTTAAGATCTTCAATCCATCGCTCATATATGGCCCGGTTTCCACTGCTTAAGAGATGGAGTTCTTGCAGATTCTGCCGGTCCGTTAAGTTGCCGATATACAAGTCAAGTTCCTCCACCTGAGGGCTCTAATCCCTGATGCATTCACACAGTAGGCCACATCGTCGTCAGAGTGAGGACATTATAAACGATCAGGCACCGATAGTTCCAATACCTGATCCACCCTACGCTCTCTAAGCCATTCAAAGACAGCCTTGATTTCGGCGTGATCCATTTGCATGCTAGCAGTAACGTCGTCGGCATACTTGGGCGTCTGGATGTGGAGATCCGGGAGGTTCTCGTATCTGGGAATGTGTTGACATTTGGAGATGTCTCCTGTATCTGCGTTCTGAGCTTGGAGCCACTGACATATTCTGTGAAGCTCTGCTCCTCAGTGTCGATTGTCGATAAGTGAAGGCATATGGTAACTATTAGCTGGGTCAAGACCAATCTGACCACCATCTCTTATCCTTTCGATCACGCAGTACAAGGCTCAAAAAACGCCTCATCAGCCTTGAGAACCATCTTATGGCTAATTCTTGTGTACCAACGGGACCTATGTACACGCCTGGCTAGGAAGATTGGCTTAACTTGACGTCAACACCTCAATGACCCTAATGACTGTTTAGCCTTGTCTTCGACTTTCTATCATATGATACAAGACGAACGTCTAGCACAAACATACATACTTATTGATGCCCTTGGTGAGTGTATGTTCGGGAACGGTCGGCCGGGGGTGATTGACTTTCTGGCCCTGATCATCAAGTCTCTAAAGTTGTCTATGAAGATTAGACGGCTCATTTAAAGTGACTAGTCAGAGCGCTTCAAGTCGGCCTTTGAACATTGGCTACCGGCATGTCGACCTGGGCCAAGGCTTGCTGGGCATGGATGCCATGCACGATTACAAAGTAAGGGATCTGGCCAGGACGAAGAATTACGACGAGGAGCTTGTGAACAAGTTATCAGAGAACTGCATTCGGCATCTCAGGGTAACTACTTATAGGTAAATACCGTCTGCGAAGCTCTACTCCATGAGGTGGAAGGGACCCATGTCTTGGACGACAGCCTTTATAATCACAAGTTCAGAATTTTCGAAACACTTCCGCGTCTGGATAAGGAGTTCTATGCCAAGATCTGTTAACAGTGGCTCTCGTGCACGACACTGTGCGCATTGATGAATTGGACGCTCTCGTACACTTGGACAAGAAGGTGGATTGGATGAACTATTCGAAGAAGTGCTCGGCGTTTCTACGCACAGATGATGGTCGAGTCTCATTTGTGCATAATTCAATCAAGGCTTACGTACAGGAACAAGTCTTGGATTCTACCACACTTCCTCAACGGTACTCGGATCTAACGTAGGCTTGCATTGAATAACCTCGGGCAGACACTTATGAAGAACAAGCATACGGAGAAATCTCAACTGACGGGTGGCGATATGTCGACAGAAGACGACCCTAGCTACTACTCCACCCTCAACTAGATAACGCACTTGTCTGAGATGAAAGACATCACCAACGATGACGGGGTGCGCGAAAAAGTCTTTTGGTCCTCCAGAATCACTTCCCGAACTAGGTTGAGCATCTAATCCTGCACGAGGGGTTGTCTGTGGCAGCAGTCAAGCTACGAGGCCTAGATTTGTGTTTACAGCAAAGGGAGTAAGTTTCGCGACGGCCTCTTTTGAGTTACCGAGCACGACAATGAAGTTCCCGTTGTTGCTTGACTAACGGGTGTATCCAGTCCCGAGAACCAGGCGCCGAAGAGCCGCTGGCAGCCACTATCCGAGACGCTCATCGCTTCCTGAGATGGGAATCCCTCTACATGGGCTCAAGATACGGAGCGGGTGGATCTACAGCGTCGTCATCTCGAGCCGAGGAATTGTCGCCATCGGTTCCGATGACTCCCCCATTACATAGGGGATTTGGCCACTGGCCGCGAAGTAAACTATCTCCCAGACCAGTCCGGGACTGTGCATGCGGTTTGCTCCTCGGATGTTGGAAGCAAACTTGCGGCGGCCTGTTCCTGGACAGTGAGGATCTGGGATCTCGAAGTGAAGCATCCGAGTCCAGGACGCTCCAGAGCTATTACATCGAGCATACAAAGACCGTGAGGAGTGTGGCCTTCGGTAAAGCCCGCAAACTACTAGCTACAGGTGCTGATGACAAAGTCAAGGACGTAAGCTCCATCTGGGATGTGGAAAAGGAGGCCAACGGTGACATCCACGCAACAACCAGCGATTATTCAGGGGTGGAAGGTGGGACGAAGGATACTAGTGAAGTGGCAGCAATAGGTGAGAATACGGAATCTGGAGAAGGAAAGCCTGCTGATGACACCGACAATTGGTCAAACGATAGAAGTGACTCCGATAGAATCAATTGCAGCCAGTCCCATCTCGACATAGAGACTACCAAGCTGCGCGAACCACTGCGAATACTGAGCGGACATAAAGGAGCAAATTTCACTCTGTCGTGTTCTCGCCCGATTCGAAGTATATCGCCTCGGGTTCAGATGACGGCACAGTCCGAGTCTGGGAGCTGGACATCGAGGAGCTCGGAAACGAAATAGGAGAGCCTCTTGACGCAAGACGAGGCGACATCAATTCAGTTGCCTTCGCTTCCCATTACAATGGGTATCTACTCGCTTCCTGCACAGAGCGCGCTATTGACGTCTGAGATACCCGGGCTGGAGAGCATCTGCAACTAATGAGATCACATTCGCAGATACTGTGCGGCATCGCTGCCTCAATGAATGGAGCCTACCTCGCCACTGGGGCATACAATAACCGAGTATATCTCTGGTACGCCCCTGGGAAGCAAAAGGAACCAAAGCTAGCGGGCAGTAGAGCCTAGAGCAGTGACTGACATGGCCCCAAGCCCTGGCGGCCAAACATTAGCTGTAGGTCAAGTTGGAGGAGATATATTCCTCTTGGACGTCGAGGCGAACGAGCTTCTCAATCCGCGGGTGGACTTTGGGTATACAAAGGACGTGTTGTCTGTTTCGTTCTCACCCAATAATGGGGCGATGCTCTCCTCTGGCGCTGACTACAGCGTACGTGTCGGTGATGTCAAAACGGGCAAGCGACTGCATTGATTCCTCGGCCACAAGTCCTGGGTCAGGTTCTCCACTTGGTTGACGGATGGGGATTACTTACGGCTTTCAATGTCAGCACCATTCGTATCTGGTAGATTGGAGACAAAGACGAGCAGGAGCCTTAAGTCCTCGAGCATGGTGATGATTTCGCCACGGGCGTCTCCTTTTCCCGGATGGGAAGTACATCGCGACGTGCGGCGATAACGGAAAGATCTCGGTATGGGCATCACAGCGAGATAAGAGTGGTTGGAATCAGCAGCACACGGTGGAAGGCCATTGCGGCTACGTGTTGAGCGTTCTGATCTCCCTGGACTCGAAGCGGGTACTCTCATTGGGTTCGGATAGAGCAATCAGAATCTGGGACATGGACAGTGGCAAAAACGTGGACAAGGACTCGCCCATTAAGACAGAGCGGTTCATTCCCAAAATGTGGTTTGATAAGCACTCGTCGAGCCACGTCATGACACCATACGAGGCCGAGTCACTCGTCAGTCCTTCCTCGGGATCAGTCTTGTAGAGCAAAAGGGAATTATCCCACCAGATTAAAGCATCTTCACGCCTATAAACTTAAATAGCATAGCAATTACAAAACAGATTTAATTCCTTTTTCGTGTACATCACATTACATACACATTATCGCAAGTTGATGGGTGCGTGCCCTGGTAAGAAAACAAAGCCTTTGCGTTCGCATTACTCCGTATTGTACAGGGAAAACCCCCTACGAAACGTGATTACCATTGCTGGGCCGAGGGAGAAGACCTGTATAAAGGCGTCCCGACAAATCCGCTAGCGTCGCAAGGCTTGGCCACTGATTGGCTTTCTGCGTGGACTTGACCGCGTCCCATGATGACGTGCATTTAATTTTGAGAGCATTCGACAGACCAAGCCGAAGTGGCGGGACCTTGTACTTGGTTGGGGCCGCTGCCGAACAGTTCAAGGAATGTCTGAGGCTCCCAGTTATTACCTCTGTACGACTAGTTAATATTAATGCTATTAATATTGAGCGTGAAGGAAGGTACTTACCCTAAGAGATTGCATTTAAATGTGCTAATTTTAATCTGGTGTATATATCCCGCACTATTAATCGGAAGAGTCACGCAGTTCCCTGTCTGCTTTATGGGTTCTCGTTCACCCCAGGCGTTATATACCTATTACTATTAAGAAAGCTATGGATGGAATTAATTAGTGGAAAAGTCCTTACAATTTAAAGCTATTTAATTAAATGATTAAGGGCCTTTTATAGTTATTTGAAGGCTATTTATTAAGAGATTAAGCTATATTAATAATCTCGCTTAAATAAAGCCGTAACGTGAGTCTTAATAAGGCTTTTAGAAGCTTTATTCGGCGATATCGTATAATAGCAGCTATTTTCCATTAAAAGAGGGCCCTCTTCCGTTAATAATACCACTGCCTGCGTTATATAACACCACCAACGCTATTAATTGGAGGCATGAGATAACATTAAGCCTACTGCTTGCTCGTCTTTGCCACATTAAGCTACCGCGCCTAGACCGGCCGATACAAGAATAAAAAGGTTTATGAGATGCATTATATTTTGCGTAATAGCTTAGCGTGATAAGGGCTTAGTAACTAATAATAGTCTTTAATATTAAAGGTTCTTGGTTTTCCTTAAGGCTTAAATAACCTAAGAGCTTTCTTTATATGAGAAATCGGTGAGAGCCTTATACCCTACGTCTCGTAATCGTAGCCCTTGTGTGACTGTGTGACACTTGGGATTATTCGCCTATGTGAAGCGCAAGGCGACTACTCTTGACCTACCTAGGTACACAGGTTTAATGGACTGGCCCTACCTGCTCCTTCACGTAGGCGTCGCTAAACGCAGTAGTAAACTAAAAGGGGGGAAACGGGAAAAACACCCCCCCCCGGGGCCTTTTCTCCCGTATAATTAGGTTTTATTTTACCTCCCTCTCTGAAGCGTATTTAAAGCGGGCTTAATGCAGGCCCAGAAGTCAATACTCTAGACCCGAGCTCTAAGCTCGAGTCCATAATAACATGTACTGTCTTTAAAACATGGGCAGTTCACAAGAGACTTTGTCGGTTGCTTGCTCTCATTCAGTCTTGCCACCAGGGCTGACTATACATACCATGCCAATTATGTGTAATAACAAAGTATATAGAGAACTCAAACTCTCATATTAATAACGTAGTCGTCCCTTCCGAGCTAAGCTTCTTCCACTACGTAAACCACGTAGCAGTATTTGATTATATACCACGTGGGAGCACAAGTCGATTATTATTCACCCCAAGTGCCCCTATAGCGAGCTGTATAGGCTCACATCTAGAAAAACAAAGTATTTAACTATTCTCTGTAACAATAATAATACAGTTATAACGAATAAAAGCGTTTTAATCTACCCAAGTTAGCAGAGCCATAGAAGAAGACAACTCATCTACCTACGCTACTATAATGCTGCAAGTGGCAGGTCACAATCTTGTCCCGTAAGTAGTCCGCAAATCGTTTGCCAAATGCATCTAGTCTCGTCGAGCTACTCACACCCCGTTCTAAAATGCCGTATATGACAAATGAACCGCGTAAATGTGGGGAAACTTGACCCGTTCTATAGTGTAACTCGGATCGGCGTCTTCACCTAGTAGCTGCCACATCCGCTCACATGATAACCATGACCGTAGCCACTCCCATTGCTTCTCTGTTCGTACAAATACACAGACATTGAGATTTGGCCCTCCGTCTACTGATCGTTCAAGAGCAATATCTCCAAGACGAATAGATCTATGTGAGCCTGTGTAGGCGACAGGGTTGCTAGTGTTGTAACTATTCCTAGGAGTTGAGGCCTGGCCCGAAAAGGCAGGTGCACCACCGGCAGGATAGGAGGATGTTAAAATAGCCTGTCCGAATTCATTAATTTCCATCAAGTGCGCCATCTCCTTCAGATGAGCCTGCTGGCATAGGGCGGGATAATACGCGATGTACGGCCTTAGGATGGCAGTACTTATATTTAGGGCACAATGAAATCCTACTGGAAAAAATTAGAATACTAGATTAATTGAAATTATTTACTTCACTTGGGAGCAAGGGCCGTTAACTAACCAGAAAAATGTTTAAGAGAAATGTCTTTGAAAATATTTGCCACTTCTAAAACCCCCTTTGTGTCTTTGCCTTGCGCTATTACTCTTATGTACATAGTGCTGCTATTCTGGTTGGTTAGATTTGCACCCGGGGTGCTAATTCTAGCCCAGAATTAGGGTCACAGCATCGTTGCTTAAGGGGAAGAGGTGCCGTATCTTGCCGTTGAAACTGAAGGAGGTCAAGATCTTTCACTTTGATGCCGGGATTGCGTCGGACTTGCTGTTCCAACAGGGCACATTTCTCCTGCCAGCCGTACCCTGTAGCATTGAATAGCAGCTAACACTCGTAGCCGCCTTTATAAAAAATAGTTAGCTTTGTTCTTGGTGGTGGAGGGAGCCCTTTGATACCCGTAACGAGTACTCTATGGATGAGTTAGCATTGGTGTGCTGGAGCGCTTACGGACTCAAATAGGGACTTGACTCACCTATTTTCGCCAATGGACTTTAAGTCTCACTGTCTAATACCGCCTTGGCGTCGCTGTGCATATATACATTACCTTGCAACTCATATAGTAGCTGACACTTGATGGTGTCTTCGTTTACGACGCCTCTGGTCCTGGGATGCCTGGTAATCACGCAAGACCCCTTGTCATGAACCTCGGCAATTGGAAGTCCAGGGTCGACGAAACGATCCAGTCCACCGTACTGAGGTTCTGTAAATCCAGAAAAGTCCCCCCTGGTGGACGTAGGCAGAGCACTCAATCAAGTGGCCTGCAATCAGGGCGCCGGCCAACTTAATGACGTAAATTATCGCCGGTTACATAACGCTTCTCCTGGAATAACAAGGCAACCTTCTCGGCCAGTCCCTTGGGGTTGAGTGCACCACCATTTATAGCGACTTTAATACGCTTGTCGTTAATCGCATCCAGTGTCTTCTCTAGGCCTTTGAGTTCAGACGTTTCGAACCCGGGATGCGAGCCTAAAGCGAACGCTTCCGCATTTTGAGCAATGTTGACCTCTGTGAATGAGTGAGTACAGAATCTGCAGGAGACCATATACTGGCATCTGTTTAACCCACTTACCGGCGAGGTAGTCACCAGTGATGAAGTCGACATCCCCAAGAGTGGCCTGCTTATATATTTCTATCGCAGGATCGCCCTGACGAATATGGTTGATTAGCGAACTGATTGATAGTGCTTTTAGGTGTGTGATGCGCACCACAGTAGCCGGAGCAATTTGCTATGCGAACTGCTCGCTTGCCAAATGCGCCCTCACGCCAGGACGATATTTTGATGTATAACTTTGTCAAGTATCTGTATGAATTTCTAGACTTGTTGCGAAACCAGGAAACGCGAATTACCCCACCTGGCGTTTCGTCGACTTTATAAGTGAACCGCCTTAGTGCTGGAAAAATGCCAACCGAGGCTCTTGACATGGTTCCTCCAAACGCCCTGCCAGCTCATGTCACCAACCTACCACCGATACTACGTACCGATCATGCTTGCGAGTTCATGGCGTTTCCGAAAACTGCGCCGCTCAAAAACTCCGAGAGCCTGGCTGCGTCATGTTCAACCCCCACGGAGTTTCCGGGATGATCACGCCCTGATAGAGTTTTGAGCGGGGTACATGTCAGAATTCCGTGCAATTAGAGGGCATGTACTCCGTCGTCGAGCAAGAAACATGGTTCCCTTTTGTCTAGGGCAAAGATAGCGAGGTGCCGGGGGAATCGGCTTACTCTGAACTCTGAACCGACTCGGCGGATTTGTCATACAGATTAGATAAAAGTAATCGTGGTCCGTATATAAAACAAATCAAATCAGCAGGGTAAAAGGGTCATCTCATTATAAGTTTTTTTTTCGTAACGCCACCGCAAGTCGCTTACTACAGCCATGGAAAACTACTCGGTTCAAAGGGAGAGCCAGCGCATCCTGGAGGAGCAACTGCTCAAGAACGAGTAATTATCTCTACCTCGCGAGTTTGCGGAAGCAGCCAAGCGAGTCACAATTACTGGTAGAGACCCGAAGCCGTTTATTCCGACCCCATGTAAAATTACCGAGTCTGTATCGGCGCTGGCTGCTCTTGTGGCGGCTGCCGGGAGCGCCGTCGGTGCTGACCGCTATGGCATCGGATACCAAAACGCTAAAGTTGATACGTGAGTGCCCGGCGTTGGAAATAGGTACAGCATGGCTTTCTACTTACACTCTTGGTCGTGCCAGGGACCTCGCCACCCTTTTCATAGAGTCCATTATACTCCCCACCATGAATGGCAAGCCGGCCATGGAGAATGATTGCGTGCTGGCCGAGCTAAAGAAGGGCGACTTGTACGAAATGACGAAGCCTATTCACCAGCAGGCGACAAACGTTTACCAGACCAAGGATGGAAAGTGGTACCATCTGCACGGGTCAATGAATGCCTCTGCGACGATGGGCATGGTTGGCGTAGAAGAGCAGGACGTCACGCGTGAGGAGGCCATCAAGATATTCGGCGACAAGGTCGCCCAGTACGACGCCGCGTACTTGGAAAAGACGGCCAATGAAGAGCTTCGCCAAGCAGGGGTAACGTGCCTCAGCCCCGAGGAATTCTTTGCCTCGGAGCACGGAAAGATCATGGCGGATGAACCGCTCTGGACCATGACGCCGGTTCCCGCACCACAGAGCACCTGGCCACTGCAAAAGTCGGATAAGTTCAAGCCGCTGGAGGGTATTCGTGTCATTGACTTCTCCCGTGTGATCGCCGCGCCCGTCATCTCTAAAGTCCTGGCCGTTCTCGGCGCCGAAGTCATCAAGGTGTCGAGCAAGAACCTGCCGGATGTCATTGTCACATGGATTGATCTGAGTGCGGGCAAGAAAGACGCAAATATCGACTTGAAGAGTGAAGAGGGCAAGAATGCCTTTAGGCGACTCGTGGCCGGTGCCGATGTTTTGATCGATGGGTATCGCCCCAGCGTGCTGGACAAACTGGGCTTCAACTCCGAGTCATTGCGCAAGATCAACCAAAAGTTGGTATACGTCCGCGAGAATTGCTACGGGTTCAAAGGGCCGTTGGCATATCGCTCCGGCTGGCAGCAGATAAGCGACTGCCTGGTGGGCATATCATGGCTGCAAGGGAAATTTATGGGATTAAATGAGCCGGTGGTGCCTCTACTTCGTACGTTAATGTCCCCCTTTCTTGTCTATTATGCATCAGCTAATCTCGCCGCGTTTCCTAGCCAATTCGGACTATCAAACAGGTCTTGTCGGCGCAATCGCAGTCCTGCAGACGTTGTTTCAACGGACAAAAATAGACAGCACCTATGACGTTGATGTGAGCCTGACACAGTTTAACATATGGTACTATCGCCTTGGTCAGTACACCGCGGACCAGTGCAAAGCACTTTTGGCACGAAATGAAGGCTTCCATGTGCGGCACTATAACGAAATGTATTCACTGATACAAAAAACCCACGCTGCCATCTGCAAGGTTCGGCCCGAACTGTTGAAGAACCCTGACTACTTTTCCGTCATGACTGGGAGAGAGTGGGGAGTGGACGACAATATCAGCATTTTAGCACCGCCTTTCAAATTGGAGACGTCAGTGCTGGAGTACGCAGTCCCGTCTGGAGCACGGGGAAGGTCTATCCCAGAATGGGAAGCATAAGTGGTTGAACACGGCGGCACAAGGTTTAGCATACCGATAAATTAGACTGTTTTGTGTGATTTGGTTAAGAGTTCTATACTTAAAGGTAGCCGGCGAGACGCTGATAAGCCTTTGTATTCTCGGTAAATTCCACTGAATACACAACTTCTCATGCTAATATCGGGCTATATTCATGCATGATTTTGTGATGCGTGAGTGACTAGCTGCGGTGTGTAAGTAAGCCTGTGATTGCAAACAACTCTAATGGGCTGACGATGCCTTACGTTCTGACGCTAACGCTGTTGCACAATTTCCTTAAGCCTTGCAGAATCACGGGCGTAAATGCAAGCTTATTAGTAAAGGGAAGGGATGTCAGAGGGCTCAGGAGTCGGGTCCCGACTTGCCTCCGCCGATCCCGTCACGGTGGCTCCGTGACGCCGAGCTAGGACCCCGCGGAGGAGCGGAGCACAGACCCGGACATTCCGGCAGTTCTAAAAGTAATCATTGACCCTTGATGTTAAAAGGTCGCCGCAGATATTGACAGTGTCCTTGTGTCCAACACTGTCCAAGCCGGCAATCGCAACTCAAATGGATACCAAAGAACCCATAGGTCAACGGCCCGGGACCCGACTCCGAAGTGGTTGGAAACGGCGAGTTGCCAAGGTTAGTAGTCCACACTCCGAATTGACAACGCATTTGTTTGCTGAGGAATGGCTGTTTGCAAACCCGAAGGCTTGCGATGCTTGCCATCGCCGAAAGATAAGATGCAATGGAGTGCGCCCCACCTGTTTGCAATGCTGAACCAGTGGCGCTGATTGCCACTACTCGGACCATCAACCCACTGCTCAGACGTTTCGCCCGTTATCCGAGGGCGATGTCGCCTTTGGGCAAGGGCCATTGAGAAACCAAGATCGCAGTCAGGCTCATGAGGACTCATCGCAGGCCTCAGGGAAAACAACTTCGCCTCCTGACGGGTCAGCCGTAGATACTGTGGTGGTCGAAGATACTGGGGAGTTGAGGTACTTTGGTATGTCAAGCGACATTGCATGGTCAGACGGATCGAACTGACTTGAAACACAACCAACGCCTTCCGCTAGCCTGGCTATCCTCTCACCTGGTGGTTTGGAATGGCTAGAGTTACGCACCGACGACTCGACTCTGCGGCAAAGACTGCTGTCGCTATTGACGGCCCGTGGTAGATGTTGGGCCAAATGGGCTCATCCCCATGCATCTACACAATCCCCAGCTGGCCTCAGCTGCTCAAGCTGCTCGATGACCATGTCAGCAGCACAGTCACTACCTTGGGAGGATGCGTCACCACTATTTGACGAGCTGCTCGAGACTTTCAACATTGCTTTACCCATATCTCATCCTCCCACTCTCATCAGCCTTCTAGATAAACCACTACACAACCAATCCACATACGGACAAGGCCAGGACAGAACCAGCTTGGCTAGTAGCATTGTTCTCGGTTCTCGCCATGGCACAAAGAAAACGGGCCGAGGAGAGCTCGAACCTGCAAGAAGCTTTAAAGAAATCCTGGAACTTTGCAGACAGGGCCGTCGAAGGAGCCACGTCTGTCCTGATGAGCAGCGTCAGTATGCTGTCTGTCCAGGGTATCTTGACGCTGTCATGATTCTTTGACGGGACACCAAACCCACAGCCGTTCTTCTCCTTCTCCGCTGCTGCCGTGCGACTCGTTCACGCGGCCGGGATGCACAGGACGACAGGTAACTCGCTGTTGTCACCCATCGACAAAGTTCAACCAGACGGAACCGACTGTTTTGGATCGCGCTCATATTCGACTCTGCGGCGGCTGCACGCACAGGCCGTCCATGTACACAGGACATCAACGACATTGGCGTGCCCTTACCAACCCTATCACCAAAGGACAACCTGGGCGTCCTGCTTGGTCTGTCCGGCGACAAGGCACTCAATATTCTCGTGGCAAAATCCGGACTAGCCATGATATAGTGCAAAGCTCACAATAGACTGTTTACGACGTCAGCGTCCGCAAAGCCAATAGGGACATTTAAATCCGGATTGAAGAGCTCGGGACAGAGCTCGATGAGTTGAGCCTCATCATACCAAGCAGCAGACGGGCCCAGGACACGCCCAGTGATACCGTGGCCGGTTGGCATCCCAGTCACCATTCACACATTATTGGCTTGCCTATGGCCCTTCATGGCTGCATCACCATGGTCAAGAGCTGGCAGAGGCTGCGCGCGCAGCAAGATGTAAAGCAGGCCGCGAAGCCGAGGGAGATGCCGGTGGCGCATCTGGTGTTGCGTCCAACGATAGCAGTGTATTCGCGAGGCCTTCATTCACGGCTTACTTACGGGCTACGCATACGGGCTCGGCTCGTGCTGATGGGAGGGTGTTGGGGTCGACAGAGTTGGAGCCGTCTCAGGTTGAGACAAATACTGATCTTGATATAGGAGCATGTCAAACTGACGATCTTGTTAGCAGCTTATTGTGGGATTGACAAGGGACATCTGGATATTTCTTGGGAGGTTTGGATCCTGACATGGGGTAAGATGGGCACTCTCGCTGACTTTTCTATAGAGAGGCGACGACTACCAGGAGGCTTGTGATATATCAGGCTTAGTGTTTGCTTTCCTGGACGCTAGAGAGCGTTGATGTTAATAGGGTATTGTACCTCGAAATGCCTTTTAAGCCGGCCTGAAAGATACATATACACTTGAAACAATCAGCAATGGGTATTGACACGAGTTTTGGCATCATGGCTAGCCCCCTATGGGCTTGTGAATGTCCTTCGCAGCTACAACTCAGGTAATCGGTAAATGCTAAGCCTCGGTCAGAAACGGCACCTGGGGGTAACTCAAAGCGAGATTACAAGGTATTATCCGCCGGGGACGCAAAGATGCATTGCGGTTCCAGAGCCCAAAGTCCTGGCTTTGGGAACCTGCCATTGTGGCGCTTCCAAATCCAATCAATGGCTATCAAGAGATGCCCTGCCTCTCGGTCTCCAAGAAACTACTTGACTTCTGGCAGGGCTCCCCCGGCCGGCAGGTCCGGGTGTAGTGGCTGCAATGGCGTCACTCATTCCTAATAGCATCGCATGTCGATGCCCGAGTAGGTGGCGTAATTGACCGTCAACACCAACCTTCCAACACTGCACTGAACCAAAACTCAGCTTCAACGAAACAACTGCAAATTGTTCAAGATTCACTTTTAGTAAGGCTTCTGACGTCATGGCAAAGATACCCCCTGCGGGACTTTACGCTCCTTTGCCAGTGGTTTTTCACAAAAGATGACGAACTAGGTGCGTCACCTGTATTTTCACCATGTCGCGATTGAAAACCTCGGCAATGAAAGAACCAACATACTGAAACTGCACAGACCTGGATGCCTACGCAAAGCACGCCAAATGTAAGAAACGGTGATGACAACGACCGCAGAGATCAATCACTTACCAAACAGGAACAGATGTTGCAGCCGCGGGCATTCTGCCAGTGGCTTCGGCAAGTATAGGCGAAGCCGCACACCTCGTATGTTTTCCCCCATATGACGTTTCTTCCTATCCAACACATACTATAGAATCACTCGGAGCGTATCAACGTGATCAAGACCTTACGCAACGCTCTCAACTCCATTGACTTGCACGAAACACCCATCGTTGCTGGCGTCGGCGCTCCTAGCACGCGTGAAACCATTCAGCTTGCGCGAGACGCCGCCGCATCCGGAGCAGAATTCGTGCTTGTTGTTCCGCCAGGCTACTACGCCAGAGTTCTAAAAGGGAACCCGGCGGCAATGCATAAATTCTTCATTGATGTAGCTGCTGCATCACCAGTCCCAGTGTTAGCAATCCCCCAAACGGCGCGCTCTGTAGGCTTGCCGCCGTCCTTTGGAACCGTGGACCTAGGTGGAAGGGATAGAGTTTGCTAATCTATGTCTTATCAAGAATCATCTACAACTACCCCGCGGTTGCTTCTGGGATAGACCTTGACAGCGATGATGTTGTCGCCATTGCAAGGGCTGCGCCGAATATATGTGGCATCATGCTATCGTATGTCAATTGGACCTGCCCCCTCGTTCGTGAGGATACTGACTGAGTCCGGGACAGTTGCGGCAATGTTGGAAAATTGGCGAGAATTACAACCGTGGTCAATAATTCGTCATTTACTACCCTCGCGGGGTTTATCGACTTTCTCCTCCCCTCGATTTGTGTAGGGTCTGCCGGGGCCATTAGCCCCCTGCCGAACATTGCTCCCGTCAGTTCTCTGGCTCCATGACCGCGCTCCAGACTTACTGTCTTTTCCAGGAATTTTGTATGAAGCTCTGGCGGGCGTCTCGTGGCTTCGATAACGCCGTTGACCGCCAGTTTGCAAAGGAGCTTCAAGGCTTGGCTTCTCTTGGGGAAGCGGCCATCATCAAGAAAGGCGTAGGCGCTCCGTCATTTTGCTACTTGCCATGTCACTTGCAGTGTACATATAACGCTAACAATTCCAGTTGTCTGGCTTGAAGCAATTCCTCAGCCAGCAGTTTGGCTATCCTGCTGCACCAAGGCTGCCGCTGCCGCTCTTGGAGGGGGATGTGTCGGCACAGTTATCCGAAAACCAGCATATTAAAGACATAATGGAACTGGAGAAGGATTTGAACTAATACGCTTGGAAGGTAATTTAGCTACACAAGCTTCAATGTGTATAAATGCTTTTCAATATGGACCATAACCTGTTGGCATTGGTTCAGCTGCAAGGGGCTACAGTCTGGCATACAGAGAGCCACTGAAAAAAATGAACATATATTAATACGTTGCGAAGGTTGTTCCATCATAAAGAGAACCTAGCTATACAACCTATCATGTGGTTTTGTTGTCAGCGTCAAAGTCACTGCAGCCCCTTGTTGATGACCTCCTCGAGGCTTTCCTTGTGCAAGCCCAGCTGGTCCAGCTTCTCCAACTCTGCCGTATTGACCTTATTCTGAAAGTCGCCGCCATGACTCTGCAGGAAGTGTGTGACAAAAAACTTTACGTACGGCGCCACACCATCGCCTTGCTTGATCTTCTCCTCGTACTCATTCTCTACTTCCCTCACATCTCGCACCTGAATATTCCAGTCTGTATCCGTCGTCCCCGTCGCGCGCTGGACAGCCTCCAAGATCTCCCTCTGTGTCAGGTGGAACGAGGGAGTGTACACAGCCTTGTTTTTGTACCTGGCCAAATCGTCCTCTGGCAGGCTCAGCACCGCAGCCACAGCCTCACCAGCGTGAGCGATGCTCGCCGTGCTGACTTTGGCGTCCGCGCCGCGCCACAAGGTCGCCTTGCGAGCTTTGTAGTCGATGCCCCATAATCCTCCCCTGAGGCCATCATCGAGCCATGGGCCGACGGCAATGGAGATCCAGCTACTCACGCCGAGCTCCTCAATTAGATCGCGAATCTTCTTCTTTGCTAAAAGCAGCCCGTTCTCCTCGACAAGCTTGCCGGCAAAGGGGTCAGGGCCAAATTCAGACGGGAAGACGTAAGGCACGCCGACCCTTGCGGCGGCACGAATCGCTGGCTCCTGGAGCTTGGCGAGGTGAGATAGCGGAGGCATCAGGACTACGGCATCTTGTCCCGTGAGCGCGTCCATGAGGAAGCTTTCATCCTCAAGGTCGCCCTTCTTGACAATGACTTCGTCGGGGAAGGCGCTAGTGGCTTCCGGTCGCTGAAGGGCGGTAATGGTATGGCCGCCGTTGCTGATGAGGGTATTTACCGTCGGTTTGCCGACCTGGCCGCTGGCACCGATAATGGCAATCTTGCGTCCCTGACCCTTTTGAGCCATTTGTACTCGTGGGTGATAGTACTAGAACAAAACAATTTTCGTGTTGTTGGGAAGTACGAGCTCAGCTCAGTGAGCTGCTTTGCGTTTGAGATGAGATGCAGTGTACGTTCCGATTGATTGATCGGGTCTGGCTTTTTTTTTTCACTTTCTTTTTGAGGGAGTTGTGAAGATATTTTGACACGGTTGGGCTCTGTATCAACGAGTATTGACTTTTCCGAAGTATCCGACCTGGATCGCGTCTCATATTCATAAGCAACGCTGCAAGTCACAACAACACCAAGTGTGCAATCTGGAAAAGCCACCAACGGTAAGACGGAAATCGCTTACTCATTACACAGAAGCCTCCAGTGGCTTAACTAACGCCAGAGAGGCGTAGTGGCTGGCGGCACCGTATAGTAAACAGCTCGTGGCAAGCCACTCCGGAGTCCAGCCCCCCGCGCACGTCAATGGTGGTGTTTTGCCAAGTCAATCAGAATATGATTCTGGCCGGTACACTACAAGAGGATATTAGGAATCAAGCCGTTGAGCATTCCAAGGTCGCAATCTCGAGACTGGCAAGCCTGGTCCAACCGTAACGAGGTGTTCTACGAGACATGTTCTTCCGGAGTAGTGCGTTGGGAACAACGAACAATGCACAGTACAGAGTACATGTGCCAGCAACACATCCCGGGAGATCCCTGACTATTCAGGGGAACGGCTTTCAGGCTAAAGCTAAACAGGTAACATCGAGCCTTCCTGAGTTGATAAGTGCCCAATCAATTGCGACCTTGGATGCCGAGATTGGCGTTCAAACCCCCCAAACACTACACAGTCGGCGCAATGTACCAAGCAACATTTTGTTTCGGGCGAAACAGAGCGATCACAGGGGCTTTTTTAAAGCTATCAATGAACAGGGTGGTAGAGCATCTACATGCGTCATGTCCTGGTATTTCTCAAATGGGCTTCTGGCCGTCAGAGGCGGAAACGATGCGGTGAAGTACCCTGAAGGGGGAGCGAGGCCAGGATCCCCTAGTGGAAAAACAGCAGCGGCAATCATCCTACACTGATGAATTGGCATTACCCAATAGTCGACATTCGGTATCCAGGATCGCCGGAAATTCGTAGCCTCGGTTATAACTACCCATCAACCGATGGAGATTTGTCCATATATCGCAACCCCTCACCAGTCGTTGAGGCGAGGGTCATTTATACGACCTCACCTTCACTCGTCGAGCTATTTTAGGTTATAGAAAGCAAAAGTAGCCTTTAAACAATCAGCACCTTGTAGCTCACTGAGGAAACCCTGCAAAAGTTCCGCGCCACTGTTGACAAAGCAGTGGCTGGCCAAGATGCCATTCCAGGGACGACGGTTGTCATCTTTGGCGAGGATGGCTCTGAGCTCTTTGTCAAGTCAGCTGGCAAACGGGCAGTTTCGAAAAACGAGCCCATGACTCCGTAAAGCATATTCTGGATGGCTTCGTGCACGAAAATGCTGGCCGGCCTGGCTTACATGCAACTTGTCGAAAAGGGCGTCTTGAAGCTCGGTGAGGCCACTCAAACCGAGGGCTTCTGCCCCGAATAGCGGGATCTTAAGGTACTCACACCCACTGGAGAGTTTGTAGAGAAAAACAACGGCATCACCCTGCGAATGTTGTTGACACATACCGCCGGGTTCTAATATACCATCTTCAACGGCCGCCTTCGTGACTGGGGTTATCCAGCTAGCATCGACGAACTCTCCGGCCTTATCGCAGACATTATCCAACCGCTTATATTCCAGGCCGGTGAAGGCTGGGAGTACGGAGGGAGAAATTTATTGCCAAAATACCCGTTCTGGTGTAGGTCCATACTGATCGCGCGCAGGTGAGCATAGATTGGGCTGGCGTTGTTCTTGAAAGGGCCACTGGAAAGAATCTCAACGATTGCATCCAGGAAAAATTTGTAAACCACTTGGTCTTGAACAACTCACCATGTTTTCCACAGAGCAGATGAAGAAGCATCTTGCGTATATGCACCACCGAGCCCCAGATGGCAAGCTGCCCCATCGCGCCCATCTCCAGCGCAGAAATTTGTAAACCACGACGGCCGAACAACGAAGAATGTATTTAACGGCGGCGGCGGCGGCATGTTTGCCAAACCTCAGGAATACTACCGTGAGTCTTTGTGCTTTTCGCTCCACATGCTTGTCCAACCTTACAACTCACACGAGGCGTGTCATAGGCGTTCTCGCACTTCTGTTGAACGACGGCACTTGCCCGCGGACAGGTGTCACGCTACTTGAGTAGTCCACTCTGGACGAAATCACAAACCAGATTCCGCAATTCCCTCAGTTCGGTCGACAGGGACTGCCGGCATCAAAGCCTGAGCTAGTCAACTCTGTAACAGATATTTATCCAGCCCCTGGAAATCCCCCGCAGGGTTGGGGCTTGACATTTAGGCTTAATGGCGTCCAACGGGCAAATCTGACACTACGTGCTGGTGGGCGGTGTTGCAAACCTGTTTTGGTGGGCTGATAGGGAGAATGGCATTCGTGATATGGTCTGCACGCAAATTCTTGCATTTCATTTGGAGCTCCAAAAGTCCTTGGGGTGTGGGTTGAATTGGAGAGTCTAGCGTACCCAGGGTTGAAGACGGCGACGCGAGAACCGTGATGCCGCTCCATGTATTTGGAAGATGGTGCCGCCACTGTCCCCCCCTTCGCTGTCATGATGGTTATTGGATTTCCTATTGAGTTATGGGACAAATTGATACAGCCATGGCAGCTCTTGGCCGAATATTCCGAGCAATGAGGTTATAAGTGTGCGATATTAGCTCTGAGCAGTGCGTAAAAGTGACTCCGAGACTGGACGAGAAGACTGAAGTGACCGTGGGAACTGAAAGAATATATGATCATAAGACAGCGTTTAGAGGGTAAACAGCGGGACAGACTCAGTCGATGCGAAGCACAAAGACAGGTTAAGTTGCAGAGAGTGGTGTGAAGATGCATAGAGTTGAGATGAATTATACAATAGGACGAAGTATTTCCATGTAGTCTCTAGTCCATTAGTTTAGTCGCAAAAGACGCTCATTATCCAGAGAGGAAAGCAATCACTGGTATTTCCAGACTAAATCCTGTCAAAAAGATAAGTCTTCCCGGCGGGGATAGTCATTCGTTGCTTGACCATCCATGAAATCGACATTTCGATCGCAAGCAGGCCCCTGAGCTTCATCACCCAGTTAGAGGACTTCACTCTCTCTGCTTTGCTGTCGCTCATAGTCCCGTGTACTAGTATGTTAGGCTGGAGGTGCGGTTATCCAAGCTAGGCATCGTGAGGGAAAAAGTAGAATAATTGCTAAAGTGTAGGTGTAGGTGCCTTGACTAGTCTCAAGACAAACTTATACACTCCAAGCGTAATGACTGCTGACGGAACAGAGCGTATTAAGTGCGGTGTCAGACCGCCATATAATCCATGCCAACCCTCCGACTGCCAAATCATTTAAAGACACTGCAGGAGCCTAGAGTATCTTGGATGACCCTTCTCCACTGGTGTTTAGCGTAATCGTGTTCTGACAACCTGGCCAATGGTTAGTTTACATCAAGTGGCCGGCATAATATGAATACTTCATGAGGGCATGTCATTAAAACAGCTGTTACTTTAACACAACCTACAGCGCCACTTGTACTGATCTAGTTAGCGACTTCATTAAAGGCGGGCATGTCTGTGGATTATAGACTAGCAAGCGACTGATAAAACACAGTTTTAAGATGCTCATATAACACAAGATAGGCGACAGTTTCAGCTATGCCCAGGTAGCTTACAGTTAGTCCTCGATAGAGTCCCTGGAGCCCTTTAGACCGAATAACTTGCCGTATGCAATCTAAACTACCGCTATATTAGCGACTCCTTAAAGTACCACCGTGCGGCTAAGCCGCGTTAAGTTACATCCTAGTCTTCATAAGCCAAATTGGATTCATTACCGTTGCGGTTACAAGGCCTGCGGTAACAGCTCCTAAAGCATGCATAATGGGCTCGTTAGGCCTAAAGCCTACATATTAAATGGTAAGCTTTTTATAGTTACTGTAGACATAAAATTTCACGGCGGTTACATAAATAACACTAGTAAGGCTAGGCCCTAAGCCGCGAAATAAGCTATGCTACCCTTCGCGTCCTTGTATTATGCTAATAGTCTAAAATGTGTTATAAATGTGATGAAACGGGCTTTTCGCCGGATAAAATCTAGATCTTAAATCATGTGAGCCTTTAATTAGCGAGAGATACAGATCTAATTGAAGTTAAGTTATTAATACGTTAAGAGAAGACGTGATAGTCGCTGTCACCATGCCCCCTGCGCTGTGAATACATTAGTTTACCATCTTTAAATCGGAGCTTTAAGACCTTACGCGCCGGCGAATAGATGTACCCAAGGCTGTGGCTGATGTACCTTTGTCTCATTGACCGCAAGATGCGGTATATGAGTGGGTTTCCCAGCACTCACGACCATATCTTACAATTTCTGGGTTTGTTGGGGAGCAGGAAGTGTGGATGTTTCTGTGGAAAGATTAAACCAGACGGCATCTCGGCTCGGCGGAATGAATTTCCGGGCACAACGAAGAATGGAAATCGGAGGTTACTGTATACAAATTACATGTTTATCAAATTTTAAAGCCTCCTAGAGATCAACCAAGTCAGTGGGAAAAAAGAGTTTGATGGCGATGGTTGATGTCAAGTCAGGTAGTATTTCCCTTTCATAGATGGTCAACTACCTACCTAGGTAGGGTAGTTGGTTACGGATGTGAAGGGAGGCAAGGCTGACGAAATAGCAATTGCATTGAACTGTCTTAGCCGAACTAATAATAAGGCTAATAAGCCGGGAATATGCGATATTGTGGGCATTACGCGAGGCTGAACCCTTATCACGTGACTACCCTTAACACCTCCCCTTAGCTAAGCTGTGATATCTAATATACATGAAAATCTAGTATTCGCGTTATTATTTCCTTTAATTTATTTATTTTATTTATAGTTATTACTTATAGTTTT